GCCTCAGTTTGCATCTCTTTAAAGTGGGTTTGGCAGTGGTACTTACCTCATACCATTTCAGTAAGAATTAATTAAACTAAAATATATAAGGCAACTATTTAAGTATGCAGTATCGATTGGCTCTAATTATTAAATACTAAACACTGAATCAAGTGTTGGACATAGCTCATTAAATAGTCCCACATATCAGGTTGGTATATTTATCTTATCAAGGAGGAGGCTGAATGTCAGGCTGCAAATTTAACTGGCCACGTAGCCTGGACTGAATGACAGGGTCTGGATTTCTTTTTTTTTTTTTTTTTATTTAAGAGGAAAAAGAGAAAAACACAAAACAAACCAAAGCGGTGTAAGGGTACACGTAATACAGAACTACAAAAAAACAAAACAAAACAAAAAAAACAAAACAAACAAACAAAAAAAAACTTAACAGTAAGAAATCACCTGTTAGTATATTACATATTATCATCTTGAAAATAGTTCCTCAAATCACAGTATCAAAGAATACAAGGTGGACATTCAAACAGGTAGACTGCAAACAACTGTGTTCAATGATCCAAAAACATTGATACAGTCAGCTATTTAACACCCCTAAACACACTTGCTGTTATATCCGTTATATCTTTTTCTTTTAGGGTCTGGATTTCAAGCAGCTTGGATGTGTCCACATTTGGCTGAGCCATGGACCCTCACGTGAATTTAGTGCTAGACTCTAGACTGTAGGATACAGTGACTCTGGGTTCTTTCTGCTCTCCTTGGCAGGTCTGCTAGTTGCTAGGCTCTGAGGCTCTGCTTCCTCCTTCCCACAGCCTGTGGCCATAAAGCGCTCTAATAGCCTAGATGACATTGCTTGCATCTTAAAAGTGGACTCACATAGTCCAAGTCTTTGCTGAGCCCATCCTATCTCTTGGAGGTAGGGATATGGGTCAGTGTACTCATTGTATGATCCAGGAGATGTCTTTTGGAGACCACAGGGCTCAGAAGAAAACATTCTTAATATATTTCCAGTTGGAAATCTTGTTTGAGAGATGTGACAGGCCATTTAATAGTTGCTTCTCTGAGTCAAAATAGCTCGCAAGTACCCAAAGTCCCTGTTTCTCAGGAGACACCACGGATGTCTCAGGAGGCCATCCTCTCTACTGGGATTTGCAGCATGGCCATCCTCATGGCCAGGGACTCTTAATGCTCTGTGTAGAGCTTTTCTATGGCCCACGGTTACTCCCACCTCCCCCCCCCCCACTTTCATGCTGCTTAACACCCTGAGAATGTCAGCTATCCATTGGTGAGGTAGAGAGGTCAGAAAGATTACCTAACTCGGTGTTAGCAGTAGCAGCTAGTGGTTAAGCCTGAGGGCACTTTACCATTATGACCTGTGTGAACCTGACATGTTTCTTCCTGATTTCCACTTTCTGTACGTTAGAGACCATATCTGCAAAGTGGTGATAAAAATATTACCCACCCACAGGGCTCTTTTAAGGGTAAATTGAGTTATTACTTGTAAAATGCTTACAAGAGTGAGTGAAATCCAAAGTGCATTGTACCTTTTAGCTACTATTTCTGCTGTTGGTATTAATACCCTCCTGGGTATTAATTTGGCTTTGCATAAGTGTTAGGGGAGACTGTTGGAATGTATTTATAAATTGTCAGGGCTTAAAGCCTACATGGCTCTGCAGCCTTGGTACCTTTCAAGGCAAGAAGAACACAGAGGAACAGAACTCTGAGCATTCATAGGATGGTAGACCTGAAAAGAAGTGTTTGGCACTGTATTTGCAATTCCTAAGTGGGCAAATGACATGAGGATTAACAGATGTTTTGTAAGATGAGGATAAGTACAAGCTGGTGGATTTTCACTTTGCTCATAGTTGACTTATTTAGCAACTTTTTGCAGATAACCTGCAATGTGTCAGGCCTGGCTTAAGTTTCAAAGTCTGAGAAGACGAAGGTCGAGTTTATCTGTTCATCCTGGCGTGCCTGGGCTCATGCATATACATACTAACTTGTATGCACGTTTATCAACACACTCACACAAGACATGCATGCACTGTCTATAAGGTTACGTAGGCCGCTGCACGCAGAACTCAAGGGATATCTTTCAGAAGTCTCAGTCTGAACTGGTTTCTCTTGTATTTGCATATCCTGTCTGCCAGGTAGCAAACTGGAATTGGTTTTACTAAGAAAGAAACTGCTATTCAGCTCCAAATCAGTGTTTGGAGACTTTACTTTTAATCCGGGGAGTGACAGCATCTCTCTGTGCTAAGAGCACATAGGTAGTTTGCCCCTCCTAGTATTTGACTGAAGGCTCCCTTGGCAGCCTGTCCTCCGAAAGGCCCTGACTAGGACGTTTCATTTTTCTTTTGTATGCTGGACAAGGAGAGGCCCCGGAAAGGCTGTCACTCAGAGGGGACAGGTTCCCTTTGTGAGAGTGGCCAGTTGAGCCTGAAGCTGAAAATGTCAGCAAAAGCAAATAGCATTTCAAAAGGGCCTTGTGCATTTCCTTCCTCTCAATCTCATTGCTTCATCCACCAGGTGTTGCATGAGTGACTCTGGAGGACCTGTTAGGCCTGATAAAGAATCCACCGCACAAAAACATGTTCTCTCCGGTTCCCCTCGCTTCGATGTTGGATTTTGTTGCTGTTACTTTTATTTTTTAAACACCCACTTGCTAATGACACAGACAGAACAAAGAATTGTCTTTTCAAACTTTCATTTATTTTTTCTTTCATAATTTTCAGAATGAAGGAAGATGCTACAAAATTTTGTTCTGTTTCTACTTCTGCGTTTGTCAGACTTGGTTTTTTAGTGTTTGGAACCTGTTTCCTGCTGTAAGGAAGAAAGATCACAACTACTACTGCATTATAATTAATGACCCTACTTTGTCCTTATGAAACGGTTTAGCTGGGCCTCTGCACTTTCTGCAGAGCTATGAAAATATCTCTGGGCATGTAGCAAAGTGGTGCATAATATGGGTTTTGGTGTTGAATAGATCCAAGATAGATGTCTGGCTGACTTGGAGAGTTTTTATTTTTCTGAAGTTCAGTTTCTTCCCCTTTAAATAGTGCATATATATCCCAGACTCATATCTCAGGGTCTGGTGAAGATGATACACACGGAACTTCAAAGGTGCTGGGTACTGCAATAAAGAGGGATCCCTTCTCTGCCATCAGCTCTGGCTTGTAGAACAAAGAAATGGGGTATAGGAGGAGCTCATAGTTCCTCAGGCTGATCACTTCTTTGAGCCTCAATTTTCCTGTTGGTACATAAGCAGCATTTTCCTAAGCTCCTTCTGAACTTACCCAACATGAAATCTAAAGTTTAGATTCTAGACCTGGTTAGATTCTACACCTGGATTTTAACTAACATGGAATGCTACCTGGTACCTGGGCCATTGTCCAGAGACAACTTCAGCAGGTCTGCCCAGAGAAGGGCTGACATTGAGGACCCAGGAAGTGCTCAGGAGGAATCCAACATTACTAGGGCAGTTCAATCCCTTAACTTTCCCAGGTGGAGTTTACTCAAATGCACACTGGCGATAATGGAATCCTAAAGGAATAATGAGTTTCCAGTTAAGGTCTTTGAAGTCTTTTGACTTTGTTACACACAGGATCAAAAAGAATAGAAAGATTTTCACACTTCCGATAAGAGATTTCAGATTAAGGTCTATAAAGGTCACAAAACTCTTTGTATTAAATAATCATTTACCCAGTTGATACCAGTTGCACTTCATTTTCAGTGCCATTAACTCTTGGGAACAAATAGCAGGCCTTGGGACTATTGATTAGAAGTGGGTTTGGGGGAAAATTTCAATGGGCCATTCATTCATTCAACCATTATTTGATGAACACAGCACCCACTCTCATTCAGCCACTGTTGTAGGTGTTAGAGATATAGTTGCAATCCAGGGAAAGCCTATGCCCCCTCAAGCTGTCCTTACTGGGAGAGGACATGATTCACACATAACCAAAGCACACACAGTGAACATGTTATTGTGAAGACAACAGTCAGGTGAGGTGAGAGAAGCTGGGCTGCATGGAAAGACTTGGAGGTGGGAAGCTGCAGATTTGAAATCTTGAAGACGAAAGTGAACCACCCATGTGACTCTCTGAACATGGAACATTCCGTGCAGAGGGGAGAGCAGATGTGTGTTTTTAGAGGGGAAGGAGTTCAGAGTGCCTGAGGGAATGGAAGGGAAATGTTGTGCTCAGAACAGAGCAAGCTACTTAGAGGCCAGAGAGGGAGACCAGTGCTAGCATTGGGCTTAAGTTTACGACAAGCAAATTTATTCTGGGTGCAGTGAGAAGCCATGGAAGGTCATAAGAGGAAGCAATACCACTTGGTTGTGGAAAAATGCTCATAATTCAAGATTAAATAGAAAAGCACTTCCAAATGTAGAACTGTATATTTAGTACTATTTATTAAGCTAGGTACCGTGTGTGTGTGTGTGTGTGTGTGTGTGTGTGTGTGTGCTGTAAAATGTAGGTGTATTCAGTAAACAAATTGGAGGAAGATAGAACAAATGCTGTGGTTTTCTTGACAGTGATAGATTTTTTTCCTTTCTTACTCTCTCTGATTTTGTAGTTTTCCGTAAGTTTATATCACTCTGAATTGTACGCGTTTTGAAAACTTTGTAAGCAGCCAATGGAGAAAAGTTAAGACGCACAGTATTTTAGCATATTTTATTTTTATTTAGAGAAAAAAGGGGAGAAATAATACAGCATTTAAAAAAAACAGTAAGAAATGACTAGTTGATAAATTACATATTGTTATCTTAGCAGTAGGTATTCAAGTTGCAAAATCAAAGCATAAAAGATGGATATAAATTTGAGCTTAGTGCAATATTGTTTTGACTACAGAGTGAACGTTGAAGGCTCTGGTCAGTAGTTATTGGCTTTATAATGAGTCTCCCCTAAAACGAACTTCTTAAGTGCCCATCTTTTTTTTTTTTTTTTTTTTTTGGTGCAAATTGTTTATGCAAAAGATCCTAACATTTCTGTTTCATCCCATAGATCTGAACATCACGTGCCGCTATGCAGGTGTGTTCCACGTGGAGAAAAATGGACGTTACAGCATCTCCCGGACGGAGGCAGCTGACCTCTGTGAGGCTTTCAACACCACCCTGCCCACCATGGCCCAGATGGAGCGGGCTCTGCACCATGGATTTGAGACCTGCAGGTAAGAGACCAGGGAGCAGCCCCACTGGGGAAAGCCTTCGCCTGGGTGCAGGGCGGAGCTTAGGACTAGAAGGCTGCTCCCTGACAGCTGCATGGATTGTTGCCCGAAGAGTCAGCCCCACCTATTCATTTGGCCAAATCAATGTGGAACCAGTATGACAACTGAAATTTAAAGCCGGCTAAACACACCTTTGTGAATCAGCAAGGGAGACTAGAGGAAGCCATTAAGGGTCCTATCAGTTGGAATCCTCTTTCCTAATGTGCTTCCACAGCGTTCTCCCGCCTTTGAAGATGCATGCAGTATTATTGTCGGAACCACAAGAAAACGTAAAGCAAATAACAGTGTTTAAAATAAATACGTGGCTGGTAGAGTCTTGGCCCTGCAGACTTGACCCAAAGCAGACTTTTTAAACATCCCTCTTTTTTATGTCTCCTCTGTGTTGCTCTGGTTTGAGGAAGTAAATAAATTAGAGTATGAAAGTATTTAGATATATTAAAAGATACATTTCTAGTAAGATCCCTGAGAGGGCTCCTACCGAGTACCTCAGTGCTTTGGAGAGCTCTCTTCAAATTATTTTGCTCCAGGATAATCACTACAGGCTGAGACCTTATTTTTCTGATTTCTGTGGTGTATGGTCCATGCAGAGCAAGCCACAGCGACAAGCAGAGAGAGAGAGAGAGAGAGAGAGAGAGAGAGAGAGAGAGGGAGAGAAAGAGAAAGAAGGAGGGAGAGAGGGAGGAGAGGGGGTAAGAAGGGGGAGGGAAGAGAGGAGAGAGGAGGGGAGGGAAGGAGGTTTGGTTTTCTTTGATTTCATTAGAAGGGCTCTGGAGGATATCAATAAATGCTCTGAAGTGCCCACCACATCCTGCAGCTCAGGTAGCACAGCTCTCCTCTGTCTGCAGTGTCCACCTCCTGCCCTGTTGCCTTTGGAAAGCCAAGCTGCAGCAGTGTGTGTGGAAATGAAGTGCAAATTCAGTACATCTATCCCCTGTCCTCGATGATAGAATCATTCTATCTTTTCCTAAAAAAGAAGGGGAAAATCTTTAATACAAGATTACTGTAATATAACTACTAGCCACGTTTGGCAATTTATTCTTCAATTAATTACAATTAAATAATATTAACACTTCAGTGGCACTAGGTGCATTTTAAGCACTCAGCCACAAATGGCCAGTGGCTATTGTGTTGAATGACATACACACACACATATATATATATATATATATATATATATATATATATTATACAGTTTTCATCATTGAAGAAATTGTCTCGGAGCCGTACAATATAAGGCACAGAGCAGATGGGCTGAAACTTCTCTCCACATGTGTTCAGAGATAGATCAGGAGAAGGTAAAAACAGCCAAGGGAAAGAGATCACTCTGATAGCTACTGGACCTGCGGTGTAGGCAGCAATGAAGGAAGACCAAGTAGCAAATTTGTTTACTCTATTCTTAAGGCTGATTATTTAAATCTGGTCCTGACCAGACCACAAGGCTAAGAAAGAGGATATAGTAAGTTAAATTTTGGTAAAGAAATATAGGCAAGGCAATCTGGGTTCGTAGAGATGCACTGAGAACTGGGGAACACTTATCCTTGTCAAGAGTAATCGTGAAGCACTGGGATGGTGGGAGCCCAGCTATTCCCTTAGCTCAATCCTTGACCTGTCCTATGGGTGAGTATACCACCCTTCTTTACAGATAAAGCAGCTGAGGCGTAGGTTAAATTCTGTTACTTGCCCTGTGACTCACAGACTACACAGGGAAGAGTCAAGTTGCAACCTCCTTAGTCTGAGCCCAGGAGAAGCTTTTAAAGACCAAGCCCTTCCCAGGAACTGAGGGCAAAAAGAGGAGGGAAGTATGTTGCATAGACTTGCTGAATATTTTTTCTCCCTGTAAGTAGTAAACTACTTATGCCACATCCACACATACATCTTAATATCCCCAATTCATGTCTATGGGGGGCTGGCTCACCCTGCCAGTCTATCAGTTTGTCACGCTGACCGAGGGATGAACAGATAGAAGACAAGCAGACATAGTTAGTTTAGCACAGCACCCCGAAGGCTCTTGCCTGTAGAGGGCAGAGAGACCCTAGCATCTGGCTAATCCTGCCTTTATTAACTCAGACGTGGATACAAGCAATTTAAGCAGCACAGGATTCATCTGCTCTCAGGTATCCACATGCTCAGGTAAACAACTTGACCTTGGCTGTGTTGACTTCCCTAGAACCTGCAACATGTCATCACATCTGCGTGCAGCCTTTTCCCCTTTGTGCTCCCAGAGGAGGTCAGTGAGGTCTCACCTCTCCCTAACTGGGTTCCCACACATGACAGTGTATTTCCTTGGGCAACAAGCAATAGAATGTAGCAAAAATTCAGCTATAGCTTACAGAGGGACTGTATTAGATTTGAGAGTGTTGGTGTGATGCCTAATTGTCAACATGATGTGACGAGGGAGTAGGTTCACGGAGGAGTACTGTTTAGAAAAAAGGAAAAAGAAAAACCTTGCCAAAGAAATCTGTCATTTCATCTACAACTGGCACTAAGTATTGCAAAATTTATTTTCATACTTTCACTGAGGTAGCTATGAATCAGATGCCAGCACAGGACAAATGGCAGAGTCTCATAGGAAAGGATAAAACCTCAGCATCTGTGACTCTTCAACCTGCCTCACCCTGATTAGCAGCAACTCTCACACATGAAAACGTATTAACACTTAATTGACCCCTCCCGCTACGGAGAGGAGGAGACTTTGGAGAAACCAGTCTGTGGGTGCAGATAGGCATTAGTCATGCGAGCTACTGTTGCAACATAGACATAATGAGTTCTAGGTGTTTAGAAACCTCCACCTCATACACCTTTCTCTGGGTCTTACAGGGCAATGCACTCTGAGCTGTTGCCTCTGGCAGGAAAGATTAAAATACAGGTCATTTTAGCCAGCATTGCATTTTCAAAATCCAGCTGGATTTAACTCATCCCTTCCCGTTCTAATGCTATCACTTTCTCCCTTACAAATAGTAGTTTTTCAGCCCACCTTTCACTGCTTGAGTCAGCTTATATTTGAAAAACAATGTGGTATGCATGTGTAGCCACCAGGGTGCTATGGGAAGCAGCTGGGCTCTGTACCTTGTATTTGAACGGACCTCCAGCTATCACATGCTCCACAGGGAGCCAGGGCTAAATGTTTTCCTTGCTTCCCTGTTTCTGGAATGCAGCTGAGCAAAATGAGCCATTGCCACCTACTCATTTCATTGCGATTGCTCTCATTTTAATGATGCTTGGTTTGGTTCCACTGGCAGTAGGTCTAGGATGCTCGGGAGGCAAACCATGGTAGGGTCTGGCACACAAACAAGGCTTTGTGTTTAGAATAATGGAGTGTGATGTGAAATGGTGAGACCAGAAGTGAGGAGCAGAGAATGGGAAATGAGACAGGCCTGAAATTTGTGGCTGAAATGAAGAACCACCTCTTCCCATCTTACGGAAGTGGGCCATGTTGCATCTTGTCTGGAAATGATGAAAGTGCTTGATGGCCAGAGCCATATTCTCTCTTTGTAATTTGGACTTTCTTTTGCTTATTTTAGCCAACTCAATGCTGCTGACCACCAGTTGTATTTAAGACTATTTTTTTCATGAATTTTCTTTGTTTGCAAAACAAAGAACAAGCTGTTCATGAGCTTTTAAACGAAACCACTTTGTCTCTGTCTGCCTTGCTCATCTCTTCAACTCTGCTGTGCTATTATTGGTGGGTTTCACATAACTCAGCTGTTGAATTATAACTCCAGCATCCCCAACAATGGATGGAATGAAGCATCGCATTGCATTAGATGGCACTTGATGGAACCTTAGGAAATTTCTGCTTCAGCCTTGCAGGTTGATAACCTCTCATTTTTCCTTGACAGGTATGGGTTCATAGAAGGGCATGTAGTGATCCCCCGGATCACCCCCAACGCCATCTGTGCAGCCAACAACACAGGGGTGTATATCCTCACGTCCAACAACTCCCACTACGACACATACTGCTTCAATGCATCAGGTGGGTTCTCAGTGCACTGTCTTTATGTTGTCTTTGGTGGCATAGCTGGATGGTAACAGCACAATCGTGGCTTGATGCAGGTAGAGATACAGGCAGCTTCCGTTCATGTAGCAAAGACTCACTGTTTCTACAGCAAAGACAAGATTCCTGTCTGCATGGTGTTTACATGTTCCAGCTGGGGGAGCAATCAGAAAACAAATAATTATTAAACACTTTACATGAAATAAAAAAAAAAGCAAAATACAAAGATATAAAGTGCTAGGATTTTTTTTCTAGAGAAGGTGACCAGGGAAAACACCACTGTGGGATGTGCATTTAGGGTAGCCCTGACTGTAAGGTGTGAAGTGATTGGCTGACGGGGCAACCAGTGGCAAGCCAGCATGCAGGAGCATCTTGTTCTGCACCAGTGAGGGTGGGGTGGCTAAAACCCAGTGATCAGGGGAGAAAGTCAAGAAATGCAGTCAGAGAACTAAGCAGGGGCCATAGAGCATTCTCAGTATGACGGGATGTCATTGCGAGTTTTGTCTAAGGGAGTAAAATGAAGCTAGTAAGAGTTTAGGGGTTTAAATGACTTAGCTGAGATTTTTTTTTTTTATGTCAAAGATTAGGAAGATACATGATATACAGGAAAGCCAACCCTTCCTATGTATCCCCTACCAATTGAGACAATTAGAGACTAAGAAAGCTAAGAGAAGATGTCAGTTCTGGACAGCTGGTCAGCCTGCTTCTCTATCTATGAAACTTAGTTCCAATCAGCAACACAGAAATTCATGCTTATAAGTCCAACTGAAGCACCAGAAAGATAAAAAAAAATTCTGTACATTGTGAATCTTCAGGCTCTGTTGAGGTACAAACCATAAATGTCCAATGTTTGAATGCCAACCATCAAAAGTCACCTTTCAGACTGAGCTTTCAAGTTCTCCATTAAAAACAAAAGGCAAATCCTCAAGGTGAATTTAACACATCTTGTTGGTGTTTCAGTCTTTATGACGGAAAGGGGTGTTAAATTAGCTGAAAAGTAAACTAAGACGTTATCCATATAAGAATCATAGATTTATGTACAGTGATAGAATATAAAATCTGGGTGTATTTTTAAGCTAAAAAAGTGCATCGGGGCTGGGGATTTAGCTCAGCGGCATAAGCACCTGCCTTGCAAGCAGGCAGTCATGAGTTTGATCCCCAGTACCGATTTAAAAAAAAAAAAAAAGGCATCAAAAACCTTGCAAGGTTGCATTAGTGTTGAGGTCGCCCTACGCACTGCTTCTTGCATGAACAGTAAGCTTCAGAGTGAGAACTCACAGTGGAAATCTAGAGTTTAAGAGAAAAAGAAAGTATTAGGGCTGGATAATTAAAATAGAGTATATGAAGCCAGTAAATTACACCAAATATATGTAGTTCAGTAAACATATGAAGACACACAAGCCAAAGAAAGTTGTGGAATGTTTTCTCCTCCTTGTTATATGAACAGACATCACAAATGGAATTTATCCAATGAAAGAAAACCCACTGGAGGTTAGACACTACATATTCCCTACCCAAGATGCCCAGTCTAATGATAATATAATGAACAAAACCACATATAGTTAGACTGGAACTAGACACAAGGTGACATAGGGTTCGACTTGTTCCATCTTGCCACGTGGAGTCCGAGATAAAGGGACTGGTCAGGTGTCAGGGGCCTAGCCTGCGCACTCCAACTCTCTAGGTACTGCATGCTGCTTCTCTTTCTGGACCTTGTCCAGGGAAAGTATGTAATAAATCATGCAGTTGTGTTCCCACATTGTCTTGCCTGTTTTACAAGTTGGTGTCACTTTGAATTAAGGTTTTGAGAGCCTTAATTCAAGAAGGCAAAAGCTTATGCTGTTTTATGGCCTGGAACTAAAGCCTGCCAGGCAGGCAATTACTAAAGCTTTTTTTTTTCATACCCTTGGTTTTTCCCAAGAGGCTGGGTCCATCCTCCGGACAGGGGACAACAACATTTATTAACCTGCCTCTTCACAGAAAGACAGAAAAATAACAGAAGTGTAATTCATCGTTACATAGCTACCTTAACATAGGAAAGTTAGAAGTACTGTTTTTCCTTTTCTCTCTTTTCCCAATTGACTCCATATTGACAGACTTTTTCTATAAGTTTTCTTTAAGTTTAAAGAAAATATTTATTGGTTAATGATACTTTACTAAGCATAGCGAGGTAAGAAAGAACCAGAAGTTGTATTTCCTTTCTTAACACTCATTGAAGCAATGAGACGCAAAATAAAGAAACTAGAGAAGGAAAAACAGTGATCAAAGCTAAATAAATTATAAACGTCTTGGTTTGGAGTCAGAGTGTGGGAGATTAAGTAAGATAAACATCTTGATAACCTCCTGCCCCATGCAAGGGATCCTATTGGACAGATCCCAGGGGCTAACTTGGCTTGAGCACTGTAACCAGAGATGCTAGTTACGGAGATCAGTGCAAACTAGCTTTATACTAGATAGCTTCTGTACACTTAATATCTTAGTGATAGTTTTGCCTCTTACAGATTAAAAAATAAGGCAGCTCCTGAAAACATTTTGTTAGTTTTACCCCTTCATTTCTGGTGACTGGTGACTTCTGGGAGAAGGCATAGAAAATTTGTTGATGATCATTTTAGTTTTAGTGCCTCATTCTCTACTGAAGGCAGAATTAGGAGAGCAGAGTCTGCCTTCATTCATTTACCCGCACTTTGTTTAACAACCATTTGAGAATATTTGTGGGTTCCTGTGACATGCTGTACCTTGAAGAAGGTGCCTTTTTGTCTGATACCCGGAGGTCAATGGTGAGCTTGAATAATCAGAGCTTCTTTTGGCCATTTTTGGTACAGTGGAACCAATGTTTCTGAGAATTCAGCCTACTGGGAAACCCACCTTGGCATCTCTCTGACAAATCCCTGGGCTCTGGGACACCTCGGCAGACTAAATCTCTCAACATTGCAATACTCATTAAACAAAATGAAAAGCTGTCTAATGAGGCCTTAAGATCTGCTGTGGAAGCATGAATAATTGCACATTTGGGTCACCATCCATCTTAGGATCCTTGCCAAATTTGATGCTCTTCATAAAAGTTCAGGTGAAATGGAGCATGAAGGGAAGTCCATGTGAACACACAGGGCTATCAGTCATAAAACTGTCTTCGTGTGGCTGACATGCCCCATCCCATTATAACTCACCTCTTGAAAATTCTCAATATGCCACTGTTACCTGTGGTCATGTCTGAATTTTGGGGAAGGTGTTGCATTTCTGGCCTCAAAAAGTCATTCAAGGCTCATTTGTGCATATACGCAACATACAAATGTCTCATAGATCCAGCCGTTCCCTGCCATCCCCAAGATGGGAGGCAGGACAGATGCAGGTGGGCCATCTGCCCTTATTTTCAAACAAGATAGTTTTGGAGAAAAAAAAAGTCTTTTGAAAACTGTAAAGAGCTACAGTACTATTAATTATTTTCCCCATAACTTTGTGAATTCCTCAGAGCCAGAAACAGAAATATGTTTGTATTTCTCTTTTTTTCTTAATGGCTTGAAACACAGGTATTAAGTAAATCCTTCAAAAGAATCAAGGAGCACCTATATCTGCAACTTCCTTTAGTTGTAGCTTATGGCATTGTGTTCAAGGTGTAGCTGCATACTTTTTGGCTTCTTTGTATTTGTGTATTATTTGGTTTTAAGTATTTGAAGTATGCTTAATGGGAGAATGGATCCTTGGGAAATTATATTGGTACTGTTTTCCTTTTTAATTCATTCAACAAATATTTACTAGGTGCCTCTCTGTTCCCATCACACATAAATGTTCTGGCCAAGACACAATAAGGCTACTACTCATCCTGTGGAGCTCATAAATTTCTCCTGGGGGCGGTAGCAGGAAGTGGGAGTTGGGAGAAACACCATGAATAGTCACCAAGTGAATTGAGCAATTGTAGGCAGCGGTAAACATAAAGAAGATATGAAAGCAAAGTGATGTGTGTTAGTGCCAGGTGAGGAAGTGATAGAAAGCTGGTTTAGGATACACAGTGAGAAATGACTTCACCAAGGAGATAATCTCCCCCTAGTAAAGAGTCTTCCTGAGAAATCCTTTCAATCAGATTTTTCAAGAATGACTCTTCCTTAAACCTACTTTATTCTGGATAAATGTGTAAACCTTTAGTTGCTTTCACTATAGGGACAAATAAATGCTAGAGTGAAAGGCATCTCCTTTATATGTAGGAAAGATGTTCCTAGGTATCTGGAAGCGACTAACATCTGTTTTGTCCAACTTATGTTTTTATCCAATGTCTTCCAGCAATTTATGGCACGATATTGTTTTTGTTAACTTTTATTATGGAAAATGTTAAAGATACAAAAGTAAATATAAACATATATAATGAATCATCATTCAACCACCATGCAACTTCAACAATCTTAAAGCCAATCTTATTTCAAATATTCACAATATACTCAATATCTAGATTCAGTATACTGAAGTAATTCCAAGACATCATACCACCCCAACAGCAAATATTTGAATGTAAATAAGAGTTGGTTTCCAACATAACCACAAAACTATTACAACTAATATTAAATATGCAGTCAATATTCAAACTACTCTAATTATCTCATAATAGCAGGTGTCATACAACTGTTTCAAGGCAGCTGTGAAATACTAGCAAAAATTCTTACACATCTGTGCCATCCTAGACATGTACTTCCTGATGGCAGTATACTAGCTCTGAAATATATTTGCCTATTTTGAACTTAAATTTGATCATGCCTCCAGACAATGCCTATTCTATAAAAAATACAGAGGACAGAAATATATTATTGTGTACCATGTATATGGGATTATGGCAGGATATTTAGAATACCTGTGATCCCAAGTATTAACTGACTACCTGTGTCCCTCTATTTCTTTATGCATACATCCCTCTATCTCTTTTTTTTTCTTTGCCAAAAAGCAACTCTAGAAGAAACCAATGTAACAAATAAATGGCTACTTTGTGTGTGATCTCTCTGTCTCTCTGTCTCTGTCTCTGTCTCTGTCTGTCTCTCTCTCTCTCTCACAAACACACACACACACACACACAGAGTAAAAGCTTTAAAAAAAATCCAATATTCTGCAATAGCAGAACCATTTTTATAGCTCTTTGGGTGTTTTAGAGCTCATCATAAACTCTAGGTTAGTGAATGGAACATTTGGGCATGGATGGATCCTGGGTTAAACTACTCTGTTGTCTGTCAGTAGAACTGCAGAGATGGCACACAGGTGGGATTTTCAGTCTGTTTTCCAAGGGTTCCAGACAGTGCTGCTCAGAGGACTATCAGCAAGATGCTTAGTTAATCAGACAGTGCAAAATACAGCCGGCAGTCCTGAAGAAGGGGCTGCAGAGTAAAAGGTGGATAAAAAACAAAGGAAAAAGAAGCCAGAGGGGCCCATGTGAGATGTGCTGAGACAGTTGTCTCAGGAATTATTCTAGGTACATCTTCAAAAGTGGCCACCCTTAGGTACATGTTGAGAAGCGGCCTGCACAGTGTAGGCACTTACAGAAATTATCACATTAATAAAATAATATACTTGTAAGGGACTAATAATTAATTGGTTTTTAACTATTTCAATCAAATGCTGCCTTAGCTATGTTATTTTAATCTTCAGATTGTTATGCTATTTGTCCTGGTAGTGTCTACCACAGTATCCTATCATTTCTGTTGGTATCTGGAGTAAAAAATGATTTTTCATGATGATTCATATATTTCTTTATCCAAAAAAATTTTAGTTTACAATGTATGATCTAACAAGCAAAATAATTCTCTCTAACGATTCTTCATTATTGAAGGACCCATCTCTACCTGATTAATAATTAGACCCCCAACCTGCCACAGTTTCAGATGTAAAACACATGTGAATGAATGAAATTGTTGGGGTGAGAGTTTCCAGGAAGTTATAAAGTTAAATTTAAAGAAAAAATGAAAAATATATCCTGAAGACCAATGAAATTGCTAGCACACTTGTCTGATAGGTTGCCAAGTTTCAGGAAAAAAAAATTATTTGTGAATAATTTGTGAAATTGTAGTAAAACTCCATACTAACTGACTTACTGAAACAGGTATGGATTTAGCACATATATTTTTAGAAGTTTCATTTGTTTCCCCTTGTCCCATAGCGCCTCTCGATAAAGAAGATTGTGCATCAGTCACGGACCTGCCCAACTCCTTTGCTGGCCAAGTTACCATAAGTAAGTATCTCTTCTCATCTTGATCAAGTTTTCCTATTCTTGGAAAAGGCATCGAGTGTGTTCTCTATAGTTCATATGTGAATCAAACGTTAGTCATTTCCCCAAGGCTAGGGAAGGTGGACTGTGGTTCAGTGTTCCTTCTCCTTTTCTTCTACTGGCATGAAATTGCCCTCTGCTTTACCCCGGTATACTGTTCTCAAACTTAATCATTTGAAAGCCACCTTCCCATATTTTGAGCATAGCTGTGTAATACATAGCATATCACTTATTTTTTCTCTTAACTGACCTATTCTCTTCTACTTATGCGTATGTTTTGAAAAAGAAAGTACAAATAAGAAACCAGCAATACTTTTCATAGCTGTGAGGTAATCTTAAAATCAATTTAAATGTCAGAAAAAGTAAATATTGTTTTTTACTGCTGAAGGATGGGAACCTAAGCTGTGCCTTTCCTTATGGAAGGATTGAGAAGTGTTGCAGACAGGGGCATTCTGGCTCCAAATGGAAATTTTCCATTTGCTGACACAATATTGAAAGATAGTCATGAAAAGGATAAACTATTTGATGTGAATTTCAACATTATTTCACATACTCCCCCTCAAATCATCTTGATTATCTGCAGAAGTATGCACATGATAGTTTAGAAAACAAAATTTTAAATAAGTCAGTCTATGAATCCTGATTGTATTTGCCTTTAATCATTATTTCTTTGAACAGTAGCATAGAACTGAGGGGAAGTCTGGTTTCTGTATCCTCAAAATTATACCCCAACAAAGTAGCTGGAGGAAGAGATCCCAGTAGTGGAGGCATGGGCTGGAGGTTTAGCTCAGCAGCGTAAGTGCCTGCTTGGCAAATGCGAGGTCATGAGTTCGATTCCTGGTACTCAAAAAAAAAAAAAAAAAAAACCACATAAACAAAAACTAAAAACAAAATGAAAATAGTAGAAGGATGAGAATCTTCCTAGACCATATGAATCCAGCTTCCCAGAATGGTCTTTACCTTGTGTCTTGCAATAGATAGGGAAGGTTTCCTTTTCTATTGGTTACCATGTAAAATGTGATATACCAATTGGACTTGATCTGAAATCTTATTTCCTCACCACCTGTGTGATTTTAGAGGCATGACTTCTCCTGAACTCCAGTTTTCTCATATGTAAAACAGTACAACATATAAGTATTGTTGTGAAACTTAAGAAATATTATGTCTAATGCCTTCCTGGCCCATAGTAGATGTTGAGTTAATGTCAAATTTCCTTGGTTATCACACATCTCTTTTAAAGGCCAGACTTAAGTATGGTGAATGCTGTGCTTTGAATATGTTCCCTAAAAGTTTATATGTCATATGTTTATGGATTCAGAATTAGGGCTTTGGGGCAGTAATTAAGATTACATAAGGTTAGAGTCCCTATGATGCTTTAGTATCTTTCTTTATTAGGAGACACCTGAGCTAGCACACTTGCTCTGTCTTAACACATCACTTACCCTTCCTATTATGATGTAACAATAAGACCCTGCCAGGTGCCAGCACCCTGTTCTTAGACTTCCTAACCTAGCCCCTAGAACCGTGAGCAAGATCTATGTTAGATCTTTGTCTGCAGAGATTATCAAGATGTTGTGACTTTGGATGTTTTTTAACTTGTACTTTACTAATAGTTCCACTTGAGCAACCTTGGTAGGTGGACAAAAAGAATCTTTAGTTTTGCCCAAGCAGTTCAGCAGAAAATCGTTTCATATGCACATGTGCAATCAATGGCCAAACTTAAAGGCAGCAGATATTTTCAGGAGAAAGCAATGGATGAGTTCATCTGTACATTTTCTCTCCTGATCCATGCTTATCATTTGCCTGTGGCCAAAGGTTTTGATCTTTATACACATCTGTGCTCACCAAATTCAAGGTTGAATTTTAAAAGAAAACAGGCTCTGCAAATAATTAGGCACATGGATTTCCCAGCCAAGAGTAGAGATTTTCTTCAGTCAAAATTTGTTACTTAGAAAGAAACTCTGTTTCTTCATGAATTTGCAGATATATCTTCCTTGTAGAATTTATTAGTAGTCTGCTATTTCAAATCTTTTATGGAAATGGGTAGAATTAATAATAAATTTTACATCTTCTTCAGAAGTTACAGTCAGGAACCAGAAGGGATAGTTATCATTTATTGAACATTCATTTTAATTTTTAATATTGTGCTTAACACTCACCATATATCACATAAGGCCCATAGCAACTTCATCCAGATAGGAATATCCTTGCTTTACAAATGAGCAAATTGAAGACTGGTAGATCACCTGGTCTACAACTACATGGAGTTGGAACTCAAATATGGGAGCTCCCCAGTACCTCCTCTTTTGCCCTTCATTTCTAGGGTTTGGGAGTGTCTTAGTTACCTTCTTATTGCTGAGACACAATACCTAACACTAACAAGTTAATGGAGGAAAGGCTTATTTCAGTTTGCAGTTCATAGTGGTTTCAGTCCTTAGTTGGCTGGCTCCAAAGCAAGGGGCGTAGTAGAGAAGAAACAGTTCATGATGTGGAAGACAGATAAGCAGACAGCAATAGTGAAGACTCCCTTTCCCTTTTATCCCATCCAAGCAACAAACCTTTTGCATCGTGTCACCCACAGCCAGGGTGGGCCTTCCCATTACCAACACCCAGAACTATGATAAACCAATTAGTAGGCCAATCTACTATCAAATACACAGAATCCCAGTAGCACATCCTTAACCCACCTTCACACCATAGATCCAGCCATCTCTAAAAAGCCCCACCTATGTATGCATGAGGCTTTAGGGGGACATTTAGATATAAGCCATAACTTGAGGGCAGGGAGGAGTCCTCTTTCTTCTTCCATCAATCACTGTGTCTCACCACTAAATAAGTAGGTATTCTTCTTAATAAAAAAGAATATAGCTTCAAAGTCACTACTTTGTATGACAACCTACAGAATTCCTTTATACTCAAAAACTAGTGCTGAAAATATCTTTTCTTTCCCCAAGCAATTGTCAACCGGGATGGCACCCGCTACAGCAAAAAAGGAGAATACAGAACACACCAGGAAGACATCTACCCCATCAACTCCACCAACCCCATCAGTCCTATGGATGAAGATGTGAGCAGTGGATCCCCCAGTGAAAGAAGCACTTATGGCGGTTACAGCATCTTCCACACCCTCCTTCCCACCGCACACCCGACCTCTGATCAGATGAACACTGAGGTCTACGGGAGCACCAGTAAGGAGTCTGAGTCATTGTGCTTTCTGATAGCAATTCTGTAGCAATACATCTGTGATCCCCCTGCCTCGTTTGCACTCAAGAGTTGATTTTCTCTTGTTTTTAGATATCTACACATAAGTGACTTCATTTAGGGCGTGGGCTGGTGCTTGTGAGTGCTTTGTGAGGACTGGCCAGTGTTGCCTGCAATCTTTATCTTCTGTCTACAACTCTGCTTTCTCACATTGGGGTGAGATACGTTGCATTGTATTGTAGGTTTGTTTTTGTTTTGTTTGTTTTTTAAAGAGCCCATCTCCCTTTATTTTCTTGTCCCTGGGGATAGAGGGACACCTCAAATCTGACACAGAGACAGTTTCTATTTTTACTTCTTTCTTTCCTTTTTTCTTCCACTATGGGTAATGCTGTTTTCAAAAAGTTGGAATCACAAAATATGCACATCTTCCTATAGGCTGTTTTTTTCTACGTAACTTTGTATTTTAATACAATAACTCAAGTTATTGGTTGCCTAATATTTAGTCCTGTTCATCACTGATGAATTACAAAACAGTTCCTTTGTTTCCGAGGAGTCTTTTGTTCTGATCCATTGGTTTCAGAGTTCTCTACTCGAGTCTGCCGGGGAAGGGCCTTGATGCTTATCTGGTGTTCGGGAACGGCAAGAGTGGAGCAATGGGGACACGGTGCGAGGTGTCCCTGAGTTCGTGTATCTGAGATGCGGTTCATCAGAAATGGAGAGTGCTTGCCTCTCCCTCTCACCTCCTTCACTTCCCTCTCTGGTTTGTTTTAAAACAGGTTTCTGGATTGGTCGTGCACTTTCTGTGGAGGATTATTCAAATCCAAACAGGGCATCTGTATCTTGGAGGGGTTTCCTAGTATGGTGTGGATTTTCTCTTTTCCTGGCTTTGACTCCTGAGGGGTGGAACTCTGTCCTCCAGACAGTGGGGCACAAATTGACTGGTTTATGAATATTCAGTGGGACCCTTTCTGTCCCTTGTCACCCAGAAGCCAGCGAAACCTCCACAGGTCTCTGAATCTTAGGTGACTTGTGCAACTGTTTTAAATTTGTTAGCAGCTTTCTGAGGGGTGAATGTGAATAAGCTTGGGGTTCTGGTCATTCCTGAAAAGTTCCTTGAAGCACTTCAAAAAGCAAATCTGCTCCAAATGCCCATGTTTTGGACTGTGGCTCTCTGGAGATAGCAACACCTCATGAGAGGCTCCTACCAGCACAGCAGGCACTGCTGCTGGCTGCTCACCACTTCATAGGTTGTCACCCCTTCTGTTTTTTCAGTGATGGGTACTGAAGCTGGGTTCTTTGCTCTAAACTCCAGTTTCAGCCCATTTTTTAGTTTTTATATCGAGACTAGGTCACACTAATCCCTCAGTTGCCCAGAGTGGGCTCGAACTTGTGGTCCTCCTGTCTCAGCCTCTCAGAGTGCTGGGCTTACAAATGTCTTTCTCCATACATGGTTTGCCTGCCTTTTTAGCCTAACCATGTTGAATATGCTTCTCATCAGAGTACATGATTTTGTCAGATATTGGAAAACAGTCATTAGTGATCTCCACAGGGAACAGAACGGGTATAAACTAAGGTCCCATTTCCCACCAAAGAGAAAATCCTATCAAAATACATGTTGAAGGGATTAGATGAAATTAACATCCATGCTGCAGATAGTCTATGAAGTAGTGAGTGTCTTAAGAAAAAGGTAGAAAGAGACACACAGAGAAAGTGAGAGAGAAAGAGAGAGAGAGAAGCAAGAAAACAAGCAAGCAAGAAAGAGAAATACTGAAAGGAGTCAGGATGAGCGAAGGTTTTTATTTATTCAGCCAGTATTTGTAGTCTTCTGTGTTAAACATTGCTCTAGCAGTTACCAAGGCTCAGAGGAATGGGCCTCTCTTCATAGATAAGACATCCTAGTTCAGAAAGGGAGTGTGTGAAACTTAACTAAAACATAGCTCAGGATTTGGGCTGAATAAAGAATTTACAGAGAACACTTACTAAATTGCTTTTTAATAGTTAGAGTTACCAAAGAAAGACTTAATTTGTCCACCACGGCAAGTCAGGGCTGACTCAAGAGTAATTGAAGTGCTTGAGGATTTAGTAGGACCAGTGGCAGCTCCAAGTGGATTAATTCATGCACAAAAGAGTCTCAAAACAAAACAAAAATAAACCAAACTCAGGTGGAAATTTGAACCCAGGATAACACATACTAGAAAAAATTAGAGTAGAATCATAAGGAGATTCTCAAAACCTTACATTGTTGAACTGAGAATTGGGACAAAGTGAAAGGGAGAGACTGGATATCCACTCTAATGCTTGCAATGGGTAAAGGTCAAGAAGAGGACTGGCTGAGCACAGAGAAGAAGCTGGTCTTTGGCTAGACTGAAGCATTCCTTCTGTGTTTCTCCTGGGTGGCCATAGGGAAAGCCATAAGAACAACTCTCTGCGTGGGTTTGGACATTCTGCAAGCTGTTGATTATAAATATTATTTTTGGAAGCGCTTTCCTGGAGGCATGTCATCATGCCCTTCCAATTGGTGATCTGGAACTCCAAAAAAAAAGAAATGTAAACTAATTCAGGAAGCAGACTCTTGCCTTGGAAAACTCTATTTCCTTGTCTTCTGGGTGTCAAACTCATAATTTTTGGGCAAGGAAGCGGGGGGGGGGGTAGGTCTGGTATGACCTAGTCGAGTGGAACAAATTGGAAACTGCTGGCTAAGCCACAGATGTTTTTTTTTCCTTTCCTCTCATGCTGGAGGACAGAGATAAGGTCTATTTCTATCTTACTCATGAATACTTATTTCTTGTGCTTCCCTTCTCCTCCCCTCCACCCCAGTGTACCATATGGCGAGTGTGTTAGAAACTCTGCATCTTTAGCAAAGTTTCTACAATGAGAATGTGGTGTTTGTGATAGCCCTGGGGTGTTCAGGCGTACTGAGTGCATCATGAGTGACATTGGCTCCTATCTCTCCGCTCTTTTTCTGAACTGATATATTGTATTAGGACTTTATTGCATAGTACCTGTTGTTGGCATTTAGTATGTATAATTTTTAACTTAATGGGTTTTCAGTTGGTTCTATTAAGTAGTCCAGAGTCTCCTGAAATAATGTGTAAGACTTTGAGAGCATTCATCTGTAGGGTCCATTCTTTGAGAAGAGAGGGCAACATGCATCAGATTTTTCAAGGAGGTATATAATTTTAAATATTTTTGCTAACATTCCAGCTGGTTCAAATATTTATCCTAATGACTTTTAGGGGGCCATTTTACTTCTGTTGGGAGATACTCTGGCCTTAACTCCATGAAAACTGGAGAGGTTTTTAAATTACAGAATCTTGCTATTGAAAACTGGAGAGGTTTTTAAATTACAGAATCTTGCTATTGATTTTCTAATTTGCTAAGAGTTCAGCATTTCTTGAACTTTAACAGTTTTGTTTTATTTCTGGAAGCACATATTGAATTTGAGTGAAATGTGACAAAGTAGTAGAAGGCTACTTCTACTTTTAACATTTTCTGATTTTAACATTTTAAACACAAGCCCTTTGCTAAGGTCTTGCTCCAGTAGAAGGCTGATTTGAGTTTGATGGGAATGCGTGGAAAGTACCAGTTATTATCAACCTACCTAGACACGATGCTAGATAGACCCAACAGACACAGGCAGATATCCCCAAAGACACTCCAAAAATAAATGGAGACCAAAAAAAAAAAAAAAAAAAAAGGGCTGGGGGTTTAGCTCAGTGTCATAAGCGCCTGCCTTGCAAGTGTGTGGTCGTGAGTTCGATCCCTGTACCGATAAAAAAGGAGAAAGACAAACAAAACAAAACAAAACCCGAATTGGACTTATGTTGTGTTGCGCTGAAGACCTTCAATTCATGACTGAATCTCCCAAGCAAGAAAGTAATAAGCCTCTTTCCATCATAATATTAAGTTGCTGCTTGATGATGCTCTGATCATTATATCTGGGGGTTCAATTTGAAGCCTGAGTAGCACTGGATTGATACCCATACAAATTTGCATGGGTGTTATGGTCCTGAGACACCTGGAGATGATAGGAGGCTGGAAAGATAAAACCAGGCCTTGATTTCTCATTTCCAGTCTTTATGATACATGCGGCTATTATGTCTAGACTGAACGCAAAGATGTGAAGAGGGACCCTCACTAAATGATATTTTCACAATTGATCCAGTTACCTCAAACATCCATGCAGCAGTTAAGGAGCAAAGTGATTGGATATGGTCCTGGTTTGGTAATACAAACCTTCAGACTCAGGATCTTACGACAGCAACAACAGGTAAACTGTTACGTCTTTGCTTGTCAGGTGTCCTGAATGCCAGGTCACCTAGTGTTAAAGAAGAAGATGCCCATTATTACACCAAAGTTTCCCAGTGATGTTCTTTCAGCCTCTAGTAAGACTATGGTTCAGTACCATTTTGTTTATTACAGATGTTTATGGGTCTGGGGATTGGCCTGGAGGCTCCTAATTAACCCAATTTCTCTTCTTTTTTGGCAATGATTGCATACAATCAGTATTATTCTTCTTTCAGAGACTTTGAGCAGGAGGTTAATTACAAAATGTGTTATAGAAAGAATCCAGTTAGCAGATGCACACACCTGCTTTCTGCTGACTTCATTATATGGTCTGTAATAAAAGAGGGAAATGTTAATTCACGGACAGAAAGTTTTGGCCCTGGACACTTGTTTGGACACTTAAAGCCTTTACTACAAAATACTATATAAATGGTCTGTTTCTCCACAACAGCAGCCAGGTCAGGAAGAGACTCTTGGATGTTTGACTGTTGGTTCTAAATTCCTGCAAAGTACTTTGATCTGGGAGCTTTGGAAAGTGGGAAGAGGAAGATTCAATCTATAACGATAGGAGATTCCAAGCATATCTTCATTTACTAAATTTTGCTGATGGAGGATATGACCACATTTCAAAATAACTAATCATTTCTGCAGAAGGAGATCAATAGATATGGGAAAATGTCCTTTCAAATTTATAAGACAATGCATATCCTTCACTTCTACAAACAATTATGTAAGGAATGATGTTATATTGTGACTACCATATTACAGTAATTAAGATCATGCTGGCATGGGGGGGAGAGAGATTTTAGAATAAAGGCAATGCTATTTTCTAAGTATTTATGATATTAATCTTCACAGAACAAATAATGTAAAAGAAAGGGTTTCACTGGCCATGTTTCTTCTTGCCTTCTATGATAACAAAAAGGGAAACTTCACCTTACTTTTGTGTGTGGGAATTTGATGATGGCTGATGGTTTCAGCCTCTCTGTCTGAACTTGTTCTCAGTTTTTAAAAAATCTACTATTACCTAATATTCTTCTAGTGCATGTTATGGTGGCAAAAATGGCAGTCTTTTCAAGTCAAGACTCTTCCTTCTGATCTTATCAGTGGGATTATTGGATCACTTCATCTCCGCCTGTCTGTCTGGGTTTTCTGGTTAAGTTTGCTGGAGGATTTGGAGTCTTGAACTGGAAAAGTTGGAAAGCATATTCTTCAACAGACTTCTTGTGTCACTCCATCTTGTGTTTGGGATTTCTGGGATCCTGTGGCTGTGATTGCTGGCAGAAATATCATATCCTGAATTCTTGGAGGATGATATTGGTTGGCCAAATATATTGTATAGAAGATCAAGGAACTAGGATTCTAAACAGCTGAAGTTTATAATCAAATGCTCAGATATGGAGTGGCTCTTAAGTGGACTAGTTCAATTCTAATCATTTAATCTCTTGCATTACTTTCCTGCCAAATGATCTCACTGATAGTGGGAAGCATAAGACTTCATGAAAAAGTTCATTGTTGGATAGTTCAGATTATTGCTTTTAAAATCTAATATTTGAAAGAGCATCCATCTCCTTGCACATGTTTAGAACAGAACCTCATTTGGCCTCCTGGGAGATGAGAAAAGCTTCCTTTTTTTACATTATAGACTTTCAAAATTTAAAGATAGCTTTCATGCTGTACTTGAGACCTCTCGTGGCTGATTCACTTTCTGATTTTGGATAAATTAGTTCTGTTCAGCAATTTTTTCCCCATCTTTTAAAATGAGGAGCATGATCTAGACGGTATCTTTGGTCCTTCCATCTCTGACATTTTATGAACTCAAGCTTGGGCTTCTAAAAGTAATATAACATCTTTGCCTTCATTCTTTCCATCATCTATGTTGAATATAGGTGATTCTTTTAAGTAGTAAAGCAGTGAAAGCATATACAGTGCTGTTTCTCAGGAACTGCTAATTCAACTTTCAATACTCACTTCAGTCATGGTTACAACAACTTTGATGAGCACTAATGGTGCAACTCTTGAAACAGCAACCAAGAGGCAAGAAACCCAGGAGTGTTTTTCATGGTTGTTTAAACTATCAGACTCCAGGAGTCATCTTCACACAACAAAAATGGATGGTAGTGAGTCATGGATATCTTATGAGATCTATATGTTTAACATTTTACTACTAACATGCAGTTTTCATCTTTCTACTCCATGGGATTAAGATAGCCCAGGAGGAGGACAGGACAGAAACTGTGGAAAGGAAGTAAGTTTTGATAATGAAACAATCTTATGCTTACATAATTCTAAAATTACCAAAGTGTAAAAACTTGACTTTCTGATGAGTAAATAAAATAGCATAGCTAGAATTAATGAAATATAAACAATGTCTATCAATTTAACTATTCTTGGGCACTAATAGTATGAAAACAAAAGGTCATCCTGTACGCCAACCTGAATCTCATTCCAATGGTAGGAAATCCCCTTTTGATAGAGATATGTCCTATAGTAACCACTGAGAAGAGGTAGTTTCCATGTCATTTGTCATGACTGCATCCAAAAGAAAAGAGTGAGAGGTTCTTATGACCTGGACTAATCCACTTTCATTAACCTTTTTGGATGACTAGTAAATGCCAGAAATAATTTCTCTAATTGGATAGCTTTTTAATTTTGCTTTCTCGATGTAAATGTACGCTTGGGAATTGCAGCATTGCTTCCATTTGGATTTGCAATCAAGGTTTAAATAATAAATTATGAATGCAACTATGCAACTTCAGTATTTTTTGAGAGAGGTCTCCTTATGTAGTCCAGGCTGGCCTTGAACTCACAGTGATCCTCCTACCTCAGCTTCCTAAGTGCTGGGATTGCAGGCGTGTGCAACCATGCCCAGCTAGGATTTCAAAAGTGACTTGCATGGCATTACAGTTTAAGTTCTTTCTGAAAGTGTCTTGACTAAGTAACTAGGCACATGAAACTTATCTATTATATTCTAGATATCCTGGCATTAGCAGACTATGCTTAATGAGCCAATAAGAAATGCATCTGAAAGAATGAGCGAATTTCCATTGGCCTTGTTTTGTTCTTGTGGCAGGTCTACGTTCATATTTATTCCTTTAGTTTCCTTAAGGAGAATGTTCAGTCATAAAGAATATAGCTGATGGTTCTGAGATCAGTGTATTCACTTCAGAGACGAGGAGTTAAGAAATTGGAGTAGACAACTCAACTCTTCACTTCCTTCTTAAAATCTTGGGAGCTTTTATGCCCTCTGTGCCTATCTTCCTTTGACAAATGGGTTGATTGGCATCCAGCTCAGCTACTAATGTGAGTCACTACAACAGGTACGGATTCAAATACCATGTCAGCAGGCTGGGAGCACAGTGAAGAAAATGAAGAGGACAGAGACAAACACCTCAGTTTTTCTGGATCAGGCATTGATGATGATGAAGATTTTATCTCCAGTACCAGTAAGAATAATCAATTACAGCAGAACTCTGTGTGCAAGGCTTACTGATTGATCTAAGTGGCACCTGATATTTTACTGAGGAGTAGATAATGTGAAAAATATGCCTTAGTTATATCTTAATGAGATTGTGGAGGAAGGAATAAGTTGCTTTCAATGAAAGCCAAAACAAATTTGGAGGAGAAGTGGGGAAAATATCTCACAAAATTTTGAATGCTTTATGGTATTTCTGTTCTGTTTGTCAATGAGGTCTGCAACTTTTAAATTATCAAGCTCTTTTAAAGGACGGGATATCAAAACAGTATAACAAATAATCATTGTGTACCTGCTATGCAAGGTGCTTGGTGCATAAAGGTGAGAACACCAGAGTTTTTGCCTTAAGGAAAAGAGATCACGAACTGTTGGCTCAGGAAACTTGGAGAATGTGATTAGGACGGTATTTGTTAAAAGTTGTAGATGATCCTAAATTTCTAGGGCTGAGAAAGTTCTTGAAAAACTCAGAAGATGAGAGCTAAACTACAAGAATTGTCTTAGTTAAACCTGATTAAAGTTAAAGGAACAAACCCAGGGTTTTACCACACATGCTGAGTACCAAAATAACAGAAAAATATTGAAAGGAAGGGTGAATGTCAGCCAGCTTTGACAAGACAGTGCTGATTATGGAAAACAAATACTAATAACACTACTTGGTACTATGCAAATCTGTAAGGACAAAGAATGGGAAATCAAACTGAATATATTCCTTGAGAAATTTAAAAAGCACCAGAGTTGACCTAACATTTTAACAAATGATTGTGTTTCCAACACCTACCGATACTGACCTCGGATTTTGCTAGACAAAGATGACAATTGTGAACATGATTGCATCATAGCTCTGCTTTTCCTTCGAGAAAAGCACTTGGGGTGCTGTGAGCTCTCTCAAATCAAGGAAATTGTGTCTGTCTGATTGAAATGTGAGTTTAACCCTCAAATGAACACCACCCAGGGCAGAAGAAATCCAAAACATTACCTTACTTCAAGGCATCTGAGTATAATGTGGCTTGAATATACTCAACTTAACTTTTTATATGCGAACTGTTAAGTGATGCATTCTTTAAGATGAACACCTCTGGGGAGCTTAGTCTGTACTGTTTTTAGTAACTGCAGAATGAAAATGAATAAGCAAAAGTACTAGAGCTGGACTATACCATCTCCTGGGATGGTATAGTCCCAGGGAATGTGGCCCCGCCTTGCTGGTGAGCCTGCCAGTAAAGATGAGGCATAGGTACTAGAGAAGCTAGACTCCCCTAGGTGGTAATCCCAAAAGGTCAGCTTGGAAATAAGCTGCATGGACAGGCTCTAGGGGAAAATTCTGCATGTTATTTATTTTTTGGTACCAGGAATCGAACTCAGGACCTCACACTTACTAGGCAGATACTGTATTTGTATTGCTGAGCTATATCCCCGGCATCCTGCATTTTATTTTTTTTATCTCTATGGTATATTTTCCCCATTTTCATGTTTACTGAGAATGTGGTAAATGATTCCAAATTTGATTTTCTAAACTTGTGGAGTAATTTTGTATCATTTGAGTATAAAATCAAAGTTTGAAAGAAGATTGATATGTAAGTAACTTTTTTAATTTTAAAGAGATAAGACCAATAAAAACAATGATACAGAATTTCCAGGCAAGATAATAGGAAATTGGGCCAGGGATTTAGCTCAGTAGTATAACAGCCTGCCTGGCAAAGTGCGAGGTCCTAAGTTCAATCCCTGGTACCAAAAAAAGATAATAGGAAATTAACAATGGTTAATATATTGTGTATTGTTGTCTTCAAAATAATTGCTCAGATTAAAAGACATAGGCATGCATAATTAATCAAACAGTATAAGTACAAACCAATTATGCAAGTAACTTCAGAAAAGACATAGGCTCTGATTTTGTCATGATCCTTCTGTTGGTTGCATCTCCTATTCTAGCCCTAATATTTCGGGTAATATCATGGAATTGGTGGATTTTATACTTCTTTCATTTTTGGCATGGTATTCTGGTGGTGGTTGGTTATCTCTGGCTTTTTTCTACTGAATGTATGCATCTTGTTTTTCTTTCACTGGCTGTGAAAGGCTTGCTCTTGGTATGTTTTGTATTTGATAATAATGCTATAGACGTTTGATAAATATTCAGTAATACATCACTAAACCATATGGCAGTTCTACATAGATTTTCTTTCCTCAAAACTATCTGGAGGAAAGCTCTGGCTGCTCAGGATGTTTTTGTCCCTGGTAAAAACTAATGAATAGTGGGGGCTGGAGATTTAGCTCAGCGCCATAAGCGCCTGCCTTGCAAGCAGGCAGTCGTGAGTTCGATCCTTGGTACCGATAAAAAAAACAAAAAACAAACTAATGAATAGTGGTTATTCATTGAATAATCATATGAATTCAGTTATTAACCTCTTTAGCCTAAGGATCTGCAGCTAGAGTTCTTGCTAGTGGTTCAGATTCCTTGGGCTTTCCAGTGCAGAGAGCCACTGTAGTCTGCATGGATGGACAAAACGCTGATGTCTTTTGTTATCCTTGGTGGAGGGCTATGGTTTCCAAAGCTGCTATTCTTGCTGCCCCAACTTCTTCGACTGCTTTTCCCAGAAGATGTCATGATCTGAACTTGTGAAGGACATTGGTATGCTTAAACAAGTGGCTGAACCAAGCTGAAGGCACGCTCTGCTTTCTCTTCACTTCCACGCAACCATCTATACAACAGCGTCGTATAGATGAGTCATACAGACCACAGAAGGAGAATTGTGCAAAACAAGTGGAGAAGGCTCAAAATATAACATTTTCCTAATTGCTTCAATGGTCATTATCACAGTTTCAACCACTCCACGAGTTTCTGACCACACAAAACAGTACCAGGATTGGAACCAATGGAAGCCAAGCCATTCCAGCACAGAAGTACTGCTCCAGACAACCACAAGGATGACTGGTAATGACTTATGTGCATTCAATTAAAGAATATTTTTCCTTCAAAGCCTATGATGCTGCAAAGGTCAGTCATCAGGATGCAGTGGGAAATTTATTTTATCTCATCACAAATTCTTAGTGAACTTTTCATGGAGAGATTCAATTTTACATAGGAATCACTTAATCAATCATAACATCTAGGCACAAGCTATTATATGTTGCTTTGTTATAAAAATGAATGCATCAGAATGGTTTATGGTGTCTCTGGCAAAATGTCAAGGGTGGAATAATAAGTGGTCATGGAGAAATTTCATGCCTGTTTATTTTCTTTTGGGACATTTTAATAAAATCACTCAAATTTATTCAGAGTAGATGCTCAGAGATAGCGTTTAGACATGGTATATACTTTCATGGAAGAAGAGAATCATTAAAAGTTGGTTGATGAAAGTCACAGTGTATTTAACCATCATCACAACAGATGTAGACAGAAATGGCACCAGTGTTTATGAAGAAAGCTGGACCCAGGATGCACAGCCTCCTCTCATTCACCATGAGCATCCGGATAAAGAGGAGACCCCACACCCTCCAAGCACAAGTAAGAAGGATGACAGTCAGCAGTCATTTACATGAGTTAGTAAAGGTATTCCAGGGATAAGGGGAGACATTGTTTAGACACTGGACACATCTTCTATCTCCCCACAGTAATTTCATTAATCTGAAGAGCTTGAGAAGCCAAATTGGCACACAATTTTTTAGAAACTGGAAGACAGATATTAACTTGTCATGTTACCCAAAAGGCCAGTAGATCTGAGTTACAGTTTTTGTGTTCCAAAGGCATAGAGGATCTTTTGGGAGATTTGTGTGTGTGCTTATGGAAATGTACTGAGGAGAATGTGCCCTTTGGGCACTTGGGTGAGTGATATGGAAGGAAATAAATCTTATTAAGTGGAAGGATGTTTGGAATCTGTAGCTTCTGTCAAGATCTGTGAGAAATCCAGTTTCTTTTTCACCTTCTTTTCCTCACTCTATTGTAGCATTTCATCCACTGTACTCTTGGAGCAGTCAGTAACTAATGTGGTCTAAATTTGAATTCTACAGGTAAATTTTTTCTGATTTCTAACCCAGGATAATTTGAGGAAAGCTTTGATATTATTGTTAACCTCTACTTATGTACAAAAATCTCACTTTCTAAAACAATCTCAAATCTCACCATTGAACTTGAGTAGTGAGAAGTATGACCAAAAAATAAAACCCAGAAATATATTCTTCTTTCAGATATGCACCACAGAGACATGCCTATCTTTCTGGGAATAAAGTAAGCTTTTATTTGCAAAATAGCTTATAGCATTTTAAAAACTGTAGTTCACTGCCACTCTTATAACCTTAAATGCTCCTAAAAAGGAAGTGTAAGAAACAACTACTTAGAAGCCAAAGGAGTTTGGAATTTCTGGTTTGAGGGGTATATTCAGACAACTGTAAGAAAGACATAAGTTTGTAAATCCCAAGCATTGCACTGATCATGTCCAACAGATCTTACATCTCACTGTTTACTTCAGTAGATTTGGTACACACATAAGGATTATACGCTAAGTTAACAATGAAAAAGAATAGAGAAGAAGCAGAAATGTACGTGTGATCAGATTCAGTACAGTCATCTTTGAGTTCTGTGTGTCTCAGAAATTATTCTCAACAAGCCTTTACCTAAGCAGAAGGCTTGGAATTATGAACCTAATGTCAAAAGGAGGTAGTGTGGGGACATCACTAATAGAGGACAGTTGAGACACCATATATAACAGAACTTGACAAAGGGAAGGCAATAATATTTCCTGCAAAACTTTAAAGGATTTCTGGCAAGTGACTTCTGGCCTTTACCGAGTGGACATTCCAACTTCTAAAAGAGAGTCAGTTTTCAGATTCTGTAATGGAAATCTTATATTCTGCAAACCCATTCCTACTTATACTGAAAACACAGAGAATTCCTGGGTACTGAAAGAATCATGTGTTTATAAAAGTTGTCCTTAGAAGAGTGTAGAATTATGTGTGTGTGCTTACACAGGTACCTACGTATTTGCTTCTTTTTTCCTTAAGCTTTGATTACTATGGCAGTCTATTTTGAGTCAATTTTTCCTTTTCTATGATTACATTTGTGGTTTTTCTAACATCATAGTCCATAGGAAGTCAAATTTAAAATTCTGACATTTTTCTCCCCTTTGATAACCAGTTAACTCCAGGTTTCGTTTAGCCAATGCAAAGGCAAAATTCTGGAGAATAAGCTTTATTTTTTAAAAAATATATTGGTTGCTATCAAATCACATGTATCATTTCCTAGGATAATGAAATACAACCAGTGTTATAAGCCACATAAAGTAATTTCGTTATACTTTAATGAAAGTATGACAGGGCATTCATTTTCTAGATAAACTAGAAATTCTGCTAGTTGCTATCAATGAAAATGTCAGTAGCTTTGTGACTTTTCCTGAGAGCACCCTGACAAAATTTTACTCAATTTACTTTGTTCTTTTGAAGAAGGTGGGTGAAAGTTTAAGCCTGTCTCATATTGCTTTTGTTTAAATATTGCCCCAAACTGGCTAGAATAGCCACTGTATTCATTTGGTTAAGAAGTAATTTTTGTGATTTCATGTCACATAGACATAACCATACAATGAATCATCAGTGTAGTAACATCTCAGTCACCACAAAAGCTTTTATGCTGCACAAATAAATGACTGGTACACTTCAAGTGTTTGTGATTATATATTATGTGACCCATTTGAGAAGTTCTACTCTGCCGATATTGCCATAAATTGCTGAGAAATGTATTTCCTCCTCCAGAATATCTGGAGTAAAGAGACCATTTGAACACAGTTTTCTCTGAAAGGATATGTGAGGCTCTAGACTACAGTAAAATAAGAATAATATTGGGAATTCGTAGGTTATGGTCTATTCCTAACTTTTTGTTCAATCTGTAGACTTGAGTATGAGAAAATCAAAATCTTTGGCCTCAAAATTTCTCATCTAAAAAATTAAAGGATCAGACCATTTAATTACTAATAACTCTTTTGTAATATCAGTGACCTATCTCTGGGCTATATTTATTTTCTCCCTTCTCTCCCCACATGTCATAAAATAGAAAAGTAAGAGTAGCTGTGGGGAAATTGGATAATTGTGGCTCACAATTGACATTATTCTCACAGCCTGGGCAGCTCCCAGTAGCACAGCGGAAGAAACAGCTACCCAGAAAGAACAGTGGTCTGAGGATGGATGGCATGGGGAATATCCCCAAACTCCAAGAGAAGACTCTGGTTCAACAGCAGGGACAACTGGTAATGGATGGTTTCTTAGACAAATGTGGGTGGAAACTTCCTTTTGAGTTAAATGTGGGGCATTGAGAACACTGAACAAAAGAACACTGAAAGAATTGTCATAGCTGTAGGCTTGTTAGTAAACCATGTTGCAGTGAACACAAAGCCAAATCTTAAATGGTCCTAACAACTTACCTGAACAGAAATGAATATAAACATACATAAGGACTATTATGGTTGCTTCTATATCTAGTTTTGGGCATCCCCTCCTGAGATTGTAACAGAAGCCCTGATCTTATAAAATACACCTTTCTGTTTTGTAAAGGAATCCACTATCTAATGTGTGTCCGCCTTTGCAATATGGTTGTGGGACAAACTAGTCGTGTGAGAAAGAATTTTGTCACAATCTTAGTGTTTAAAGAAGTGGATGCAGGCATGATGAGAAAATTGACACTTGTCTGATGTCTTTTGGCCTTTTGTTTGTATCTGTTTGGTAATTTCTCCTTGAGTACACAATGTTTTTTTCTCAGATTTACAAATAAGTTGACTTTTCTTGTGTTGAATTGTGGGATTGTAGTAATGGGATTTAAGTCTCATCATCGTCTCTAAGTGGTGCCAATCACCTAGCTCTGCAAGCTCCCATGCATGATTCTTTTGTCTGTGTGATTTAAGCATTGAGATCTGTCCTAGTAGTAAAGAATGTGGATCTCACATTCTTACTTGGTGTTAGTGGGAACTATCCCATGCTTCTTTTTGCATTATAGAACATAGTGCATAATATCTTTCCAGTGCATGGCAGCTTCTGAATGAATTGCTGGTAAAGCAATAGAGTTAGTGAATGACTGTCTGGTGTGGCTGTAGCGAGGTGATAGTACTGTAATTTTTCTATCTCTACTTCTCCACTGGCATACAGTGAAGCAAAGGACAAGGGCTACATTCTTATGCTATAAATCTCATTGTTAGAAGGTAATGCTCCTAACAGATTTCATTCATTGTTTGTGATGAATGGCATTTGCTTTTCTGTTTATGACTGGAGAAGGTATTGCTTGAATCTTTCTCTAGATCCTTGTGCATTTTACTGGGATGTGATTGTCTTATGGTGACATCATGCAGCTGGGTGCTTGTGCCTCCTCCATTAGGGACTGTGGCAGCATGGATCAAGAACTACTTCTTCATCTTTCTTTGATGCCTATCATTCATCATCTGTTCACCGCAGAAACTAAATGTTTTGCGTCCTCGAGTTCATATGCTGATTGCTAAGAAAATTAGCATGAATGAACCAAACCTCCTAAAACATTCTGCATTTACGAAATTTCTTTGCTCTCCATATCAGGAAGATAGTTTTATTGCTTTGTTCAAAGAACAAAAAATATCATTGGATTCCTAGTCAAATGCAAATTAACACTTTGACAAATGTTTGAACTGCATGGTCACAACAGTCTCAGCCCACGACAGCCATCCAAGTCAAAGAATGACAACACAAAGTCAAGAGGATAGTTCCTGGACTGAGTTCTTCGATCCAGTCTCACATCCAATGAGAAGAGGTCAACAAACAGAAAAAACGATGGGTAATACCCTCTTAAGTATTTTTATGCATTATGCTTTTAATATCCACTGGTTTTTTATCCTATAAATATGCCCTTAGTTTTAGACCAGGCTCCTTTCCTAAAGTTTCTTCTGAAGTTTCTTCAAAAGTTACTTTTTTTCCCATAGGAATGTATCTTAGTTACTTTTCTCATTTCTACAACAAAATACCATGAAAGAGGAAGGGTTTATTTAGCTCAACGTTTGTGGAGGTTTCAGTCCATAGTCAGCTGGTTCCAAGGGAAGCAGCATGGCAGAGGTGCACTGTCCATGGTATGGCCGGCAAAAGGCAGCAGGCAGCAAGTCTCCCTTTTTCTTTTATCCCATCCAGACTGTAAGGTGTTAGGGTGGTACCACTCACACCCAGGGTGGATCTTTCCATTACCCACACCCAGAACTATACCGGTTCCAATCAGTGGACTAATTTCGTACCACACATTCTTAATCTTAGTATCACATTCCCTAGAACCAGTTCCAAAAAGTCCCACCTAAGGCTTTGAGGGGACATCTAGATACAACCTGTAACAGAGTGGTATGCAACTGAATATGAAATCCTGGGCTGAAAGTGAAGAATTTCATGAGAAGCTTAAAGAATATTTATTCCTACATTGCTAATAGTAGAAGTCATTTTCCTTAAGGAGGGGTATTCTTAAGATTTCTATTTACTTCTTTGTGCAAGGTTTTTAAATATAGTGATAGATTTGGTGACTATTTTTACTACAGACTCAAAGATAATTGTACAGAATGTGAGAGGTTAAAAAATTGGTGACTAGTTATTCTAACCAAATAGCTAAAAGGCCTGGAAAACTTGATTACTTATTCTTGGCCATATTTGGAGATAACATAGTACCCTGTAGTTTACTATTGGCCCTCAATGAATGCTTTTAAATTTAGTGGGTGGACAATTTTTATAAGAGATAAAATTATTTTTTCTTAAATATTTTTTCTTCTATATTTTTTCATGCGAATTTCTAAAAGAGAAAGACACTCGTGATGCTCTGCAAAGGTGGAAAATTGTGAAATTTTTTGACCAATTTTTATACTCAAAAAGAATTTTTCTTTATTGTGACAGGTCACAGCTTACCTAAGAAAATATTCAAGAATTGATAGCATGTGGTGTCTCTTTTGTATCAATATCAAATAAATAGAGGAATCTTTATATCTTACTATACGCATGAATACAGTTAACTCAAGGTTTGTTATTCTTTATAAACAAACTGCCCTGATCACTGAAATGTAACATTCCAAAAGAGAGACAAATTAAAATTACCAAAGTGGGGTGTGAATTTACAGTCACGCATTTAAAATACATTATCTTAATATAAATTTCCAAACACATGTATCACATAAACTGTATTAAAATGACTTCTAAACATAATGAATACGTCTATCAGTGCTAAATAAGTATAAAGTTATCTCTCAAATGAATCCAACAACTTCTGAAATATTTTCATTTCTTTAGAACGCTGCATTTCTTGCCCAAATATTAGTAATCTAGATATCCCTGGAAGTAAAATCAGCATTAAATGCTTGCTAATATGTAAAGCATTATGAAAACAAAAGGATTTATAATTCAGGATCATTTCTCTTAAGAACTTTAACATTTAGCTTGTAAAAAAGAATTAGAAGCAAAATAGATCTAATAACGTGAGATGGTAAGTAATACACGTGAAATGAATGTGGTCAGCAATAAACACTAAAGAAATTCAGAGGAGCCCATACTTCCTAGAGAGCATTAGAGAAAGATGGATGGGATCTGATTTTTGAAAAATGAAACAAACCTGGTAATTTTCTATGAAGGAGTCTCAAGTAAAGAGGGCCATATAGGACAAAAAGCCAAGATACGGATATGTCAGAGTGAGCGATGGAGACTCAAGTAAGGAGGGCCATACAGGACAAAAAACCAAGATATGGATATGTCAGAGTGAGTGGCCCATTTGTCATAAATGAAGAGAAGTCTGAATGAGGCTACTATGTTGAGTTAATAAAGTGCCACGTGGAGACTCAGTGCCCATGTTTGTGCAAATGGATTCTGTAGATTCTGATGACATCCATGGTGGAGTGGCAAGCCAATTAAAGATCCTCAGAGTAAATATTAAATTACCATAGTGAGGCAAAAATTCTACTACATGAATAAACATGTCCGGGATAAAACAATTGGCTTCCACCCTAATGAGGTGTGATGTCTCTTGATACAGTCTACCCATGATAATAAACCAAAGTGACTGGAGCCCATCAACAGACAGGGATTTCTCTGGAAGATTTTCCATTGGAAATTTTGATTTGGATTAGTGAAGCTTTCCTATTTTATGATATCCAGGAGAGCAGACTCAGCCACTCATTTTTGTCCTACAGAGATTTTGATTGTCTTTTCTTTTGCTCAAAAAGACTGCAGTGCAGATGTGGGTACCCAATATTCTGGTGCTTTTCTTTGGAGTTATTTGGAACTGATTAAATCTCCCCAGCGGAAGTAGTGTGAGTGGACTGACTAAATTGGAAAGCCAGCAATATCGATGATGTTTATGAGATTTTTGGCCTTTGTCTCACTGAGGACTTGTTATTTCAGCAGAATAGATGACCATTAGAAATAGCACTTAGAAATACCTCAGTACAATTTCTGCACCATTCCATATTTGGTGCACAGTAAATTCCAAAATCATTTCATACTTGTATTAGGGGGAAAATGATTGAGTGATACCTAGGGCTTCTCATTTCTTGCACCTGTGTACTTCCTGCGGCCTCTGCCTAGATAACACAGTGTGATGATTTTATGTCTTTATCTGCATGCTCCCTTTATGTAGGAAAAAAAAAAAGACTAAATGAAAGCAGAAGGCTATTTTAAAAGTTATAGTACCCAGTAAGCAGGAAGTCACAAAATGATGTCTGAGCAGCAGACTTTGTCTTTTCTCCATGTGTCAGATTGTGTGAATCACTAAGAAAGGCTATGTGAATGGAGTGGGGCAGAATCACACAGGGGTTATGTTCCTTTCTGTGCAAGGTTTAGAGGTCTCACCGTATATGCGGTACTTTTAGACCCAGTAAAAGCAAACAAAATTATAGCTTTCCTATAATTCAGCCCTTAAGTGAGAGTCAGCTACTTCTTTTGACAGTTTTTTTTGAGGAAATAATACTTTATTCCAATTCTAAAGACATTAATCTGTGTGTATTTTCTTCCCTCTTACCGTGTTTAAATATAAAAATAGCTTCACTAAAGAACATAAGTGGCCCTCAGTGGTGGCTTAGGAAATAAAGCAATAACAATGATTTAATTCCTTCAGATATGGACACCAGTCATAGTACGATTCAGCCTACTGCAGTTCCAAACACAGATTTGGTGGAAGATTTGAACAGGACAAGGCCTCATTCAGTGACAACTCGTAAGGATAATGACTCTCAGTCCTTTGTCAACCTGTTTTCCTGCTTCAACTCTTGCTCATTTGGCCAAGATGGTGGCCAACTTGGTGATGGAATGGTGCATGTTTCGCTATGTGGCTCAGTTCCACCCCGGGTGTTAAACTGTCTTCTTAGTCTGTATTTCTTGTGAGGTTCTTTAAATCTGATTTTACCTTCATTCTTGGTACCTCCAGAGTCAATAACTTTGTTAAAAATAAATAAATAAAAAAGATGTAGAACTTCATTCAACTTGATTTTCCTTTTCTCAGTGGTCATGTCAGTGATACAAAAGACCACATTTAAGACAGTGGACTTTTTTGTGTTTTAACTGATCATCTCTTTTTTATTCTCATCTTTCCTGCAATCAAGTCAGAAGAAAGATTACTTTCCTGGTTGTGAAAGGGCATTTGGGGGCCAGATAATCATAAAGTATGGAAATCATATTAGCCCAAAAAGAAGGAGGCAAAGAATATCATTGAAAATTGACAAAGGTGCATGTTTCTTAGAATAAGAAAGAAATATTTGCTGATATTTTTATCACTAAATGTGGAAGGGATGTTAATTTCTATTATCCTTAATTTCTATCATATGTTCAGTGATAATCTATATCATTTAAAGTCATTCATAATTTCTTGGCAGAATATGAAAGAAATTCAGAATTAAGAAGGTCTTATTTCATTGCATGGTGCAAATAACGGGCAGAGCCCTTTATATGAGCCTTGTAGGCAAGGGAAAAAAATCAGCAAGCATGGTTGTCAGCCATGTAACTCAGTACAACATTAAGCTTTAGAAGAGCTGCAGATAAGCCTGTGAGTGGCCTCTGCTAATGAAGGATATGTATTTCCATTTTATGTTACTTTACGCTTTTGTTCAGATGTTGGGTTTGGGATCTGGTGAATGTCTGAATCCTGGTTATGATAATTCATTTGCTGGTGGATATGGCTTATAATTGTGCTTTATGGAATGCTGGAACCTGGAACTTGGAGCTCAGTAACATTCTTACAAGGAGATGGCTTAAAACAATTAAAGTGATTTCACATTGGGGTAGTAGTTCAACCTCAAATGGACACAAGTCACTGAGCCCCTGTTTTTGCTCAGGCAAGCATTTCCTTGGTGCAGTGATGAGAATTCCTATGCACCAATGAGATAAAAAGCCTAATTATACAGTAAAATTGCTCCTTTAATTTGATAATCTTTAGGAGGGAGTTATAAATTTTCTCATGCAAATTTGATTTTAGTTCCTCGAGCAGACAATCTTGCATGGGCTTCTTTCTCTTTTGTAGGTATACTATGTACTGCTGCTTTCTGTATAGTCAGTTATGCTTCTTGACCCATTGTTAGATGTTCCTGATTGTTGACAGGAGCATTGTCTACAAGGAATTTTAAATATTCCTTTTCCACACCTCTGCATTCTCTGGTTTTCTTGAGTGCCTGGGAGCAGTGCTATCAAGGGAGATGATCCAGGGTGGGGAAAATTTGGGCTCAGGCTTCACCTTGCAATCTTACCTTTATTGTCTATACTGTGAGATAAAGGGCATCAAAATAGAATTCTGTGTGTTTTTTTTAATCAAAGGGTAATGTTGTGAACACACCTCTGTCTCCCTAAGCACCTATCCCTCTCGCACAGTCTAGGCAGATCCTCTCTATTACCAGATAACAGAGGACCTGTATTGTGGTTCCAAATTAACACTGGCTTCATCCCTCATTGAAACAGAGCAGAGTGATTCTCAGAGCTTCTCTACATCACATGGAGAACTGGAAGAAGATAAAGAGCAGCCAACAACTTCTACTCTGACATCTGGCAGTAAGGATTATAGAACACAGTTGGCTTCAGCTGTTGATAAAAATCAGTATCTTATGGGTGCTCTTGTAGTGTCTTTGGTGGAGGTGCATGTATTGGCTGTGGTTGATACTGTTTCTTTTTATCAAAAGGTGCATCTGGTGGTGGTCTCTGATTTTTCTGCTTTGTAGTCCTCATAGATGTCATTGTACATTAAACATAAACTGTATTGCTTGGTCTTAGAATTCAGATTTCCTAAACATTCTAGTTAGTGATTTGGTCAAAAAATCACACATTGCTTCTATAAGACTTACAATTGGTCTAAAGTTCTGATTATATAGTTCTGTATTATTTCTGTTAATGATATTTATTTGCCATTTTTCCTCTGGACCGTAAGACCACATTACTAGTCATTAAGAATCAGTGCTCTGGACCATAAGACCACATATTGGTCATTAAGAATCAGTGCCCATCTGGCATACGAAAGAATAATTAAGTTAGCAATCTCAAGTGTTTAAAAATTATTCATTTTGCTATTCTAGTTGTGGGTAGCATAATTTTACCTTTCAAGTCAATGATATGTTTCCTCCACTTTGTCAAAGATGAATCCAATTGAGAAAGAGCTCATGATTATGAAGTACCTGAGTTGCCTTCCAGGTCTCTTTTGTGGCATGTGTCTTACCTTCGTAGTTCAGGCAAATGTTATAAAAATGCTTCTTCTGGGTAATTAGGGTCACCAAAATCTCTTCTGTTGAGCAATGTCCAGGTGGTGTCTATTGGGAAACACTGATTTTGTTCAGTAATCTCAACTGTTGAACTTCTCTGTCTTTTGCTTTTGCTTTTGCTTTTGGGTAACTACTGGAAAGGTTTTGCAGCAAATACATATTCTGAAGACAGGTACATGGTGGGTCGTGATACTACAGATGTGGGTTTATCACTGATTCCACCTCCACACAGATAGACATCCTGCCATAGAGGGTAGAAGAGATGGAAATCTTTCTGAAGACTCAACTACTTCACTGGAAGGTTATACCCCTCATTACCCAGACACAAAGGAAAACAGGACCCTCATCCCAGTGACCCCAGCTAGTACTGGGGCCTTTGGAGAAACTGAAGTTACTGTTGTTGGAGAGCATAACTATGATGTTGATCACCACTTACCAGGTAATTTACCCATCTGTATCTGGCTTACTTTCTCTAGAGAGAGAAACAACATACACTCTTCTGTTACAGAGACATTTTCTATATAGTCTATAATTAGGCTTCTCTGTGACATGGGAATGGCTTTCATCACTTGTCATCAATTCTAGTGACAGGAAATTTGGAATTATTTAAGGCAAAATAATGCTCCCATTTGTTAATATATTTCCCATTTATTTTTGTGACTTGGTGGTTATGGTAGAATTTCTTTCTTTTTTTATTCCTTATCCTGTGATGTATCAAGGAGAAGCATATGAAAGTAATATTCTTGTGAATCAAAATGATAGAATGTTAGCAATTTCACTTGAGTCAATTACTAAATGCTACTTATTTAGTAAGATTTCACTCAAAATAAGAATCTTTGTTGTGAACCTTTTGTTTTCTTTTGGTGATGGATTGATCAATTTTACTTCTGGTGATGGGTTGGTGGATAAATCTCTTCTAGTTTAAGGCTTCACATTTTAATGCACTATTAACAATGATGGTAATGACATGATTTCTTTCATGAGGTTTGACAGGGACCCAGAATAAGACTCTTCAAGTAAGGAGCCCTCTCTACCCTGTCCATTTGCATTCAGAAACTGATCCTGAGAAAAGCGGACCTGGCTAAGAAACTAAAAACAAATTCTTTCCTCTTAGAACCAGTTATTCAAGTTGTTAACACATATCATGTTTATAGTAGAGATCCTCCTCTCCATAAAGAAAAAAGATACCATATGAGAATCCTATAGGTAAACCAGAGAGCAATTGCAGTGTTCTAGGGCAGGACAAGAAAATCCAGGATGCCACATAAATGCTTGGCATTGTTCCTTTGGTCTTCCCACCTTAGGGCTTCAAGGAAAATAGTTTAAAAAATACTGATCCCAGAAATATTGGAAGACAAAGCCCCCTTATATTCTTTAAGAGTCTTGTGTAGCATTATCCTGCTCTCCCTTATTTAAAACTCTAAGTACCATGTCAGTTTTCTGTTGCAAGAGTGAAAGAGTTTAGCTTAGTTTCTCTTGGCAAAATGAGACCTTATTGTACAAACTAATGGATTTAAATTTTAAATGTCAATTTTAATAATCCCAGAAGGCTTAGCCTGATTGTTAGCAAACAAAATTCTTTCTACCAAATTTGTATTTATTTTATATCTGCATATGAAAGGTCATGATATAGATGAATTTTTTGTGGTTCTCCATGAATTCAATAACTAGTAACACTTCCCTTTCTCTTCTTTGATTCTCTTCTGAAACACTCCTATATGTGTATTTCTGCCTGTACCTTTTATTTTCAATCTTTATGCTTACTATGAAGAACTAAAGCATTTGTGATCATGGTGACAAATGTTGGTGATGGTTTTGGTGATGGGAATGGTGATCTTGATCATGGTAGTATTGGTGTGGCATTTCAGTTGATGCTATTTTCTGTTATTCTAACCCAGGAACAAAGCAATCTATGTCTTTAATATAATCAGGAGAGTGATTACAAGTGACCCATCTCCATCTTTCCTAATCAAGGAAATGGTGATGATCAGGTTTCTACATGTTCTTTATAGGCATCTTCATAATCAATAACTATATCCAACTTGTGAAACTGTTGAACTGGGTATATATGTGTGTTTCATGATTCCCATATACAATTTAAAAATTGTTGAAGGGGGAGGACTGAGGAGGAGCCAGGGAATTTGCATTTGTCCAATCTAAGATTTTAATTGTGGATTTAAATTTTATCAACTCATGAGTTTGTCTCTATCTAAAGCCTTCCAATAATGGATATTTGAGATTATATTAACTATTGGTGTTCAACATGTGGCTTAACTTTTGAAAAATGTTATTTGGGACTTATTCTAATAACCAGGAACACATTATCTACATGTTATCCTCTTAGCATGTCTTTTATTTTAAATAAGTCATTGAATATTCTTTTTTAATCTTTACATTGTTGAAACTGAGGATTGCCTAAATACAGTCCATTTTCCTGCCTCAGAGAAATATCCTTAAAACTCTCATCCTCTGAGCCAGAGAACACACGTTTCCAGGGATCACATGCCTCAGTCTAATTCTTATAGCCTTTACTTAACACCCAAGTTGCTGAGTTCTGACCTCAGACCTGTGAAGGCATTATAGTTCTTTAGTCAGATTGTTATTTGCCACACTTTTTGAATTTCTACCAAAACCACACTTTCTGTGGTGTGGCTTTAAATGGCCAATGTTGCTTCTGATCCCTTAATTTTGATTAAATCTGTAGCCCACTCATCAGTGGGCTTAACATGGAGTGGTGAGTGACTAATGCTACCAACCCAGTTCAAGACTCTTTTGACACCATTTTTGGTTACTTTTAAAAGACTAAACTTCACAGTGGACTTGGGAAAATACAACACAAGGAAATGCTGCAGATGGTGATGTGAGTGGGGACCCAAAACTAACTTCCTTTCATTGGATTTTACAGGAGATCAAGATTCATCTGTGGACCCCAACAGAGGCTCCCATACCACTAGTGATTCTGCATCTCATGGTGAGCTTGAAATTGCTTTAGTCATTTACTGCTATAATGGTTGATGATTACTACTAAAGTATGCAACAATGGCCCTAGAGAAAGGGTTCATACTCTCTTAGCAGGCATTACAATCACAGAGAGGATTTACTACATCAAATTTCTTGCCCCACCCTGAAAAGTTTTTGAATCAGTAGCATGGGGGAAGAGCCCAAGCATTTGTATTTCTAATAAATTCACTAATAATACTGACACTTCTGGGATGTTGGTGACTACTGCTCTGGAGAAACATCTTTCATCTGAATAGATCAGGAAGAATCTGGTAGGGTCCCAGTTTAACATTACCCTGTGCCAGAGTGACTAACAGCAGGGGTTTTAAAATAACAATAGCTCGTGTTTGATCTCAGTTCCTCTACATATTAAACAAACAAGATGCTTAAAGAGCCTGAGATTCAATATCTTAACAAAGTTGGGACAGTAGTTGTCAGAGGGTATTGTTCCAAAGACTCACTGATAGAACACATGTAAAGCCCTTAGCATAATCTCTGGCACATAGTACAGTAAGTAGCATTTAAGAATTTACTATGTGCCTGTAAGTATTGTGGTTCAAAATATTTTAAATGCATTAGATTGGACCATATTAAACTGATCTGTAGCATAAGAATAATCTGACAACTAACTTGATTATCCTAGAGATCCTGTGATGTACATACTTGACCAAGTTGACATGAGTGGCAGAGCCAGATTTTATTCCCAGGTGTCTCCTGTTGCCTCTTGTAAGCACTCCATTGCTAGAGAAAGTATTCTGTAGTGATTGTAATTACTGCCAGGCATACATTATGAAATATATTCTTGTTTGCTGTGACTGAGATCACACCCCCTAAAAAACGTTACTTCAGACAGCAAAGTCTGACGTGAAGTAAGTTTACTTTTGACCTCTACTACTGGGGCCACCGAGCCATTCTGCTATTCCCACATACTGTGGTCTCCCAAGCATCACAAAGCCAGAGGACTCATATCCATCTAAGTTATCATCTTTCCCTGCATGACCAAATTGGGGTAAGGGTTGCCTCCAGGTTGAAAGCAAATCTAAAAAATATTTACATGATGGCTGCAATAATAACCTTTTATGTTACTACCCTGGAAGGTGGGGTTTATCAGCCATGTTTCTGAATTTGGGAAGAAGTGTGAGGCTCCCAGGTGCCCTTGGGTAGGATGCTTAATGTTCCAGCCTCAGTTTCCTTATAAAGAAAGGGAAGGTGAGATCATCTGCTTCAGTTATCTCCTAGAATGTTTGTGAGGAGCACAAAGCATCAAGAATGGAAAAGTACGTGGGAGACAGACAGTAGGAAGCTATTATTAAAAGCCATGTTTTCTAAAGCCAACAGACCCCAGCTACTCTGAGTGTGGTCCTTGGGCTAGCAAAAGAGACTTCACTTAGGAGCTTGTTGGAAATGTAGGATCTCTTGCCAGAATGTACACACTGAATCAGGATCTGCATTTTAACCAAGTTCCTTCCCACAGATGGTTTGTGTTTCTGTTAAAATTTGAGAAACTCTGTCTTCCACTGTCTTTCTCATAGTTGAAGTCAGTTGAATGATCACTGTTCACGTGTATCAGGTTGGATCTCATCTCCCAACTGGAGTGCTCCATCCCTGGTTTTACAGAACTTGCTCTCTTGGTTGGTTCTACCCTGCCTGGATTGACCGATCTCTGAGGCATGAGAGAGGCCTCCTGTCTCTCACCTGTGCTCTTTGGTTTTAGCTTGAAATGAGAATCAGGTGGGCAGAGCTTTGTCTCTTTTTGTTTGGCTCCTGTGCAGGTGTGTATTGTTCAAACAGAAGGTTTCATTTTGTTGTGCACACACGCAGATCTTTCCTTGCTGGGAGCATTTTTTAAAAAAATCAAAATAAAGAGATATGATCTTTGAATATCAAAGACTGTAATGGGTCAGAAAAAGAGCCCAGCAAAGATGATGGTACCTCTTAGGTGGTTTCCAAAACCAAAGGTCTACAGTTTAGATGGCCAGTATCTCAGGTGAAAACCTTCCAATGGCCAAGCTCACTGGAAACAGGTAGATAAAAAAAATGCTTTGGAGTTCTTTGAGGTTGTGAAATAAAAGGTCACTGTCAAAATGAGATGATATATTTTGAAACAGCCAGCCATCTGGTTAGAATTTGTTTTGTTCCATTTTGCATTTTAACACAAACTTCAAATTGTTGAGCCTGCCTACCCCAAAGTAACCTTCACCATCAAGATTTTAGTGTCCACTCTGTAGAGTTCAAAGTTCAACGTTTTCACCTACCAATTAGCCAAACAAACTTCGCTAGGTTTTTCTCCCATTGGCCTTAAGGATTCTACAACAGGTTCCCATTTGCTGTGGGAAAAAAGTTCATTTAGTGGAAAATTTTCAAGTTTTACTCTTAGCTAGTGGAAGAAATGTGAAAACAAAACAAAACCCATTAAGCTTTTAGTTTTGGGTAAGTCTCTTAGCAAGATGTCTGAGACCATTCTTTTAATACCTGATGCCTTCCTCATTTTGATAAGCTGCCTGTGATTTTGACATGTAGATTATCTGCTTCACAATGCTTCCTTCCAACTTGGGGTTTGGTGGTTTTTTTTTTTTTTTCCATTTCCTTATTTTGTTATTTAACAGTAGAAAAATGTTCCTTTTTCTAACAAAACTCAGACAGTCACTAATAAATTAGCAAGGAGTCTAATAAGGTGATTTATCAGAGACAGAGAAGGCCATTGACCCATAACCCTTATTTCTCAATGCTCATATTGGCTTTTTTCTCGATCGTGGATGTGATGTGTTGGCTCACTTTATGTTTTCTGGCACATCTGAATCCCGTAGGGAATCTCATGAAGCTGAAGGTCCTGATTCAGCAGGCCTGGAGTGAGAACTGAATTTCTGCATTTCCAGTAAACTCCCAAGCCATGGTTCTGTTACTAGGGTAGAGGGCCACACTTGGGTAGCAAGGCCCCTACATTAAACTAAGATAATAACAACTACATTCAGTTACCATGTTTAAATGTTGGTGAAGCTGAGTCTTTTACTATCTCCATATTCTAAGAGAGAAAACCTAGACTTGGCAAAGGTAACCTAGTGTCTAGCACATGTTACTAGCAAGATGTAGAGATAGGGCTCAGACTTAGGTCTTTCCATCTCGAGAGCCCAGTCTTAAGCACTGCACAAACCATTGCTCTTGGGATTTTCATGTTCCTGCATACATACAACAGATCTAAACCTTAGCCTTTAATTGCACTGAACTTTCGGGGTGATAAGCTTTTGCACAACACTTTGTAGATGTCTGTGGCTTGAATTTATAAATAGTTTCTTGGTGATGTAGATCTTGGAGGCTGGCCCACTACTCTGCTCTGGAAGGAACTCCTGGTTGTGCATTCCAAACTTGGACTGAAGATTTTTTTTTGTTCTATCTCCTTAGGACGTGCAAGTGGGACTCAAGGTGGTGCAAACACAACCTCTGCTCCTATAAGGAGAGCCCAAATTCCAGGTGAGTTTCAAACTATGAAGAAAAAAGGAAAAAAATAAAACATGGTTAAAGCAAGTTTCTCAGAAACTGGAACCAGGAAGGAAGGAGAGACCTAATCAAGTGTCCACCCTCCTAGTTGCCCAATTCTTGAATTGTTTCTCTTTGCAAGATGAAGGATCATGAACATACTCTAACCTCTCATCAAGAAAAGGTAGAACTTTTTTGTGTGGATCCTCTGGGTTCCGTAGACGAACTGAACTCACACGCAAACCTCTACATCTTGCTAGTAACATGTGCTAGATTAGGTTACCTTTACTTGTTCCTGGCCTGTCACAGACACATCCTGTTAGTTACCAAAGCTTCCTTCCCAAGTGAGTGATCACCCCGAGGGCCCCAGGTCATACTCAGGTCCCTCCTTTCCCAACCCAGTTTCCCCTTTACTTCTAGGGCCAAAGAGAAGCATGTAATCTTCTTTTTACATTGCAGACAGAGAGGACATACAAGAGCAATTTGGATTGGGGAAAGTGAAATAATTATTCTGGTTCCTAGCGTACTTTTTCCCAAAGGCCAGTCCATTGATCAGGCTGGAAGAAAATTTTCAAAAAGTAGTGTTACAAAATACACCGTAAGGGGTCTGGATCACCTGGCTAACTTGGACATCAATCTTTAAGCCATCTGGTACAAACTCTTTATTTGGCTTCAGTTCAAAATTGAATATCTGTAAAGGAAGATTGCAAAAAGAAAAGTATCTCCTAGCGTTGTAAATGTCTCTTTTAGTTTTCCTCTCCTAAGAAGTCTCCAAACTGAGCAATTCTTGGGGAGAGAAGAGAATATGGATGTTTTGGTTATTTTTCTCTTGTTGGTGGGACAAAATACCAGACACCCAAAATTAAGTTAGAAAGTGTTTATTTAGCTCACAGTTCTTGGAGGTTTCAGTTCATAATCAATTGACTCCAAGGCAGAGTGGCGTGGCACAGGGACAACACTTCAAGGTTGCAGATGACAGCAAAGGAACAAGAGCAAAAGGTGGGAGAGAATAAGCCTCTTTTTCCTCCCTTATGTTGTATGCAAGCTATGGCTCTACTGGTGGGTTTAGCACTCCCATCACTTCTGTGTCCTCCTCTTGCACAGGCTGAAGATGTTTACAAAGGAAGGACCACGGTCCCCTGCCGAGTCACTTAGTTAAACTTTTGACCTTCTCAAATTGGCACAATGAACACCAATGGTAGAGCCTACCAGCTTGTCCTCTACACCCCAGGATGTAGAGCTGCTGAGTTACTTAGTTAAGCTTCTAGACTTCTCAAGTTGACACATGTGTCAACCCTAACAATGAGGTACATCATGCACCTTTACTTTGGCTTGCCCAAGCACATCTGAAGGCAGAGGACATGGAGAAATCAGAGAGGAGAGGACAAGGGAACACAATGACAATCAGGCACAGGGTTCTTCCTGGCTCTAGTCAAGTGAACGTATGATACCTCAGGGCTACAGACCAGGATTGTGGGAAAGGAAAACAGAAATGGTATTCTTGGGATGAGCCAAAAGTGGAAGTGGGAGGAAACCAAGACTTGCAAAGAGAAGTGGACGATGAATGACTTTTTACCTTTCTTGTTTCTCAAATCTTGACTCATTGCGTGCATACCTAACTGAATGGATTCAACTTGCCAAGTCATATTTCACTCCTATTAAGCTTGATTTGAAACGTGCAAAATATTTATTAGCCCACAAATAATACATAATTATCAAGGACATTTTAGAAAACACAACCAAGCAAATGGATGAAAGTATAAATTGCTTATTATCTCACTACCCAGAAGCACCATGGTTACATTTTATCATTTTAATATATGTTCTTCCTCCCAGTTTTCTATATAATTTATGTACAAAAATGTCATTGTACCATCCTTGATGTTTGTTCAACATTCCTTCTTAGTTGAACACAGCTTTCCATGATATTAAATATTTTTCCTTTTCGTAATACATGATACAATGGATATAACCTAACTTATTTAGCAAATCTGTTACTTTTTGATATTAGGCTGTTTCCAGCTTCTATTACTATATATAATACAGTGCTGACTATCTTTCAGCCAATTTGAGGTCCTATATGTTATCTGAGGTGTAACTGCTGGATCAGAAACATGAAAATTTTGAAAACCCAAATGATCCTCAATGAGTGTTTGCAAATTTACCTTCCTTCCTCCCTGCTTTGTCCCACCCACTAGAATGTCATCTCCATTTTTGTTTCTGAGTAAAAGCTAAGATAAATGTTCTTATATAGGAAAGGAATGTTTCTTTCAAGGAAGCATAAATTTCCTCTACTCCTATTTAATAATATTGCGCCAAGAGCGTCTACAAGTTTCAGCAAGTTTCATTCTATATGTGTTCAGAAACCTATTTCTCCAGGCAAGATTTGAAAATCCTGACAGATGATAAAAAATTAGTACAAGAGACCTGCGACACAAACTCCTATAGACAAACTGCTCTTTTAGAAAGAGATGCCCTTTGGCTGTACCCTTTGGTCAGGTCTCTCTGCAGTGCTGATTGTGGTTCTTGTTTGGCCCAGATCAGTTTTCTAGTTGCATGTTTGGCTTTAAAAGTGTATTTGTAATGCTCACACATGTCTTTTGGTTCACTCGCACCAGAATGGCTCATCATCTTGGCATCTCTCTTGGCCCTGGCTTTGATTCTTGCCGTTTGCATTGCTGTCAACAGTCGGAGAAGGTAAGAGGCTGCCCGTTGGGGCCTGCAACTTTGAAGGGTGTCTTGTAAACTGAGGCTTTACATCCTTGCTGCTCAGAGTTTGGTTCCTGCAACTGGCAGCTTCAGCACCTTGGGGCTTGTTAGAAACGGAGAATCTCAGATATAAGCCTGGATCTGGTTTAACAAGATCCCAGTAATTCTTGTGTGTGGTCCTATTCTTTAGCAAAAGGAAACATCAGTAATTATTTGGACTCCTACTTTAACATATTGATTATTCACATTTAATTTTTTCAAGGTGAAATTGCAAACTCTGTCTGATAAAAGTTCCAAAATATCTCACCAAAAGATATATAAAAATATGTACTCATTCACTGATGTATTAAGCAAGTATTTATTAAGTGTATTAATGATGTGCAAATGTGTAAGGATTTGGGGACTGCTGGTTATTACCATCAGCCCATTCGAGGTCCAAGGAACCATCCACAACCAGTACCTGAAGCAGACATTGGTTTCTCATTTTGTTCGTTGCTTGCTTTTATAATGGTGTTATGTCCTATTTTCTGGAAGCTGACGTGGGAAAGATTTAGGTTATAGCCTAGGAAGGCCTTCTGAACAATGAGAACTATGGAACCATGAAGGCCTTTTTTAATCAAAGTGTCTTAGTTACTTTTCTCATTGCTGACTACTGAATTCCCAAAGTAAAAGGAGGAGAAGTTTATTTTAGTTTACAGTTTGTAGAGGTTTTAGTTCAGAGTTGGCTGGTTCCAAGGCAGGAAGGCATGACCCAAGGGCATCACAGAGGAGAAAGGGTCCACAGTATGGCAGGCACAAGTATTTTTCTGTCACATTGTTACAGCCCTAAACCCAGCATTGCACCATGAATCAATACCAGCATCACATCCACTTAATGCTCCTGAGTTTGAGAAAAGACCAGGAGAAAATTATAAACTCTGTTGTTGGCCTTTAAAGACCGATAGACATCTGATTCCAATGACATGCACAGCCTTTGCAATTTTTCTAATTATCTGGAGACATCAAATGATGTCATTTTATGCTTCTAAAGTTAATAAAAGCACTACATTAAAGTCAAATTGCTGTGCTGCTATCTATATATTTGAGGGAGTAATAAAAAAATTTAGTCTGGATGGATGATTCCCATAAGGAACAAAAACCAGGGGTAAAATCTAAAAGACATCTAATGAGCTCCCAGGCCTAAATGGAAAGAGTTTTTTTTTTTTTTTTTTTAAGTTGAATTTAAATGGGACTTGAAGCTCTTACAAAGAGTCTTTATACTTATCCTCAGCTTCCTTGTTTTCCCTTGGATTACTTTTACTTAATTAAATATGAATTTGCTATTGTTTGAAATCAGCCCTTTTTGTTCTAGGTCCTAGAATGTAGCACTTTGGCTCGCACACACAGTCCATAAGCTTTGTCCATGTCACCATGGCAACACTGGCCTGGGTACTGTCGATGTGGGGAGCCCTCTGAGAAGCATCTCAACTGTCCCCAGAACAGCTGGAGTCTGTACATTGTGGTTGGTTTGCTCCCAAGTCTCTCCCTGTCTTGTTAGAGCAGAAGAGGCACCTCATGGCTTCCCTCCTCCCTCCTTCCAAAGCCAGCAGTCACCCTAGCAACAGGCAAACAGGGACACGCAGGATTCAGCACAGCGAGTATCTCACCGGGAAAGTAGCTGTTGGGATGCCATAAATTACTGTGTCCTGATTTGATAATTGAAAACAGATTTGCCACGCAGCTAAAGGGCGGTTACGGGCTGCGCAGGCCCCTTAATGTATGCTGTGTGCCTACAGCCGACAGCCCATTGCTAATCCTCTTAGAAGGCTGGGGCCTTTCTGCTTTGTGCAGGGTATTGCAGAGATATACAGAATGCTATTTTCATCAAAGACAGTCTAGTTGGAACTAGGGCCTCCAAAGGGGATTCATTTATTCAGCAGATGTCTTTGGAGTGGCTCCTCTGACTATTAGCGCTGGTGGAGGAGAGAGGAGAAATGGTGAAAAGTACCATCCCTTCTGTAAAAGCATCTTGACGTTTAGTGGCAGTGGGGCCACAGCTGAATTGGAAGCAGTGGCTGTCATGGATAGCAGTCCCAGAGCCAGTTGTCATCATGGCAGGAATTGTGGTTGGAAGAATGAAGAAGTGTTAGCGATGATGTGGATACGCAGGACTGACCCTGGGCCTTTACGGTGAAGTGCCCCGCGAGTCACCTCATCTAACGGATGCTGATTCAGGGCTGGTTCCTCAGTTTCTCCAGCTCTTCCCACAACAACTGTCCTTGATGCTTTTGGTGAAATTGTACTTTTTGAATTAGGGCTTTCCCATGGAGACTGCACTTTATTGGCTTCCCTTAAGAGCACATTGTTTTAGGAGCCAGTTGGGTTGGTGGATATTGAATAAGGCCCAAGGAGGCAGCTTTCAGGCGCCTTTCTCTGACAGACGTGTCTGAAGAACAGAAAAAGCACAGGGATGTTGCCAGAAAAGACTTCAGAAAACAGGAGTGATTCAAGGATGCGATGCTCCGTGACGACTGTGCAGAAAATGCCTTACCAGCCTTCACTTGCATGGGAATAATCGTATTTTTTGTAAACCCAGAGGATAGCCACCCTCTTTTACTGGGAAGGTTCTGTCTGTACAGCTCCATCTTTTAGAAATGACTTCCTCCTGCTCCCTACAACTCTACAACAGCCCTGCCCTATTGACCTTTCCACCATGATGGGAATGTTCCATAGCTGTACCATTCAGTTCCTGACCACTGGCCATCCGAAACTCCTGAGCACTGAAATGGGGCTAGTTCCACTGAAGAAGTGAATTTCTATTGTTGCCTATTTCAGTTTAATATTGGTTTCAATTGAAATAGCCACATGTGGCTGGTGGCTACTGTATGGAATGGCACAGATTTAAAACAATGCAAAATAAATCCCTAAATATCTTTCAAGATTTGCATGCCTGTTTCATGTAGAAAGGACATGAAATCAGTTGTTAAATTCCTTTTGAGATACATCCTACCAGGCTCTAAAATGTTATCTTGCATGCTAAACTCTATCCAGCCTACCTGATTCGCCTGGGAAGGTCTTAGAGTCTTTCTATACTGTGTGCCCAGAAAATCCCTGTGATGTAAGGGAAGAGGAAACAAATGTTGCCAGATGTGATTCAGTGAGATTCTCTGACCTTTGGAGATAGAAAATCTACACTGTGATTCTGGCAGCAAACTATACATGTGGCTTTGAATAACATCCTTGACCTCTTGGACTCAGTGTCCAGCTTACATAATGAAGAAGCTTGACTTGATGACCTTTGAAGCCCTCTTAACTCTCATATTCCTTCTAATTTCCTATAACTAAGAAAAGGAAAAAAAAAGAATTTGCCTTTTAAATGTAGGCATTAAATGTCTAGAGAACTCAATATTGGTCTGAGTTCTTCATGAAAATCATTTGGGCTTCCTGAAAGAATTCAGACAAATAAGAGAGATCCATGAATCTAAAGGGAAATGGTGCAAGTCAAATATCAAATACAGTATTCCTATATTCTACAGATCAAGTGTTATCATCTCCAAAGTCAGGTTCATTGGATTAATATTAATCCCCATCCCTTCATGCACAGTTTTTTATGCTAATAGATCACTTTACTCACAATATTTTGTTCCCATCTCTTAACCATCCATAGGGCAGTCAAATAGAAATTGCTTTAATTAGGCAACATTCTCCAAAGAACACAGAGCACCACCTGAAAATTTGGAATAACAGAAGCAGCAGTATTCCACAGTTAGCCTTTTAGGCCATTCTCAAGAGTGCCTGGTGGAGGCAACCAGAAGCCAGTGAAATCCCTTTCACAGGCTGTAGCTGCATTAACAACAGCCTGGGCGTCCTGAATGGAGAATGTATTCCAACACTGTTCTATGTATTCAAGGTCTTAGTCTCCTCAGCCTACTGTTCATGAGACCAGCCAATAATAATAATAGATTTGTTTATTGAGTTCCAGGCTCCATGTCAAGGGCTTTTGCTATTCTTTGAGATTGATACTCTTAACAGTCTGGTTTTACAGGTACAAAACAGAGGCTCAGAGAAGTTAAGGGAGTTGCACCCAGTCACACGACGCCAGGGTCTCAAAATCAAACCTTCACCTTCGCCTTCTACATGGCCTCCAGCCCTGATAAGTCATAGTTCAAGCGTCTTTCTCTCCACCCTTCACAAAGCCTCCTGCCAGAGGATATAAGACCTACCTCCTGTTGGGGAGGTATAATTTATTTCCCCAAACAAGAGATTAAAGTTTATGGCTTTGGCAGTTCTACAATTAATGGCCCATGATCATAAATAATAGAGGCTTTGTCTCTACAACTCCAAATATCCAGTGGCAAAGTGAACAATTCTGACTTCATACTGTTTCCAAAGCTCCAGATGGTTGGCAGCATTGACAAAACCAGGCAGAGCTTGGCTTTTGGTCATAAAGGTCTAGGCTTGAATATTGTCAGTCTTACCCCTTGAATGACCTCAAACAAGTTATTAAACTTCTCTGGACCTCTGCTTCTACTGGTATATAATGAGAAAAGGTGTTTTGCAGGACTATTGTAAAGATTACAGAACACTACTGTTACTCTGGAATTCAGGAAGTATTTATTACTGGGTGGTAGTCTGTCTCCCCTTTTCCTCACTTTGCTTGTAGTTGTGAGGCTGTGAAACTTCCTTTCTGCTAACCATCATCTCACTGTCTATGTGCAGCTGTGACTATGTTACAGGGAAGAGAAAGCATTGCAACAGACTGAGGGGTATGAGGCAAAGATAACAATTCTCAAGGATAAGATCAAGGTCATGCACTTATATAAAAGATCTTCTGCTTTGAATCTCAAGCAGCTCCTGAGAAACCTTAATGTAACAGTGCATAATATGTCTTAGATTATTAAATCTTCTACTTCCAAGGTTATATAAAAATTAACTAACATTAGGAAAAAATCAGCGACCTTATGCTTCTAGAACAATGCTATTTGATTCTTTTTTGTACCTGCAGTAATAACACTGACAGGACCAACCAAGTGTTGGTGAGAAGAGGAAGTAGCAGAACTTTGTCTACACAGATCAGAATGATTTGTGGTGATCACGTTGATGGTTTAAGTTTTCAGGAACCGCTGAAGTGCTTACAAGAAGCAAACATTTCCACTGCACAGTGTGATGGAAGGAGAAGTAGACCTTGGGGAACAAAGCAGTTTGAATCCTACTCTGATGGCTTGTTGACTAATGTGAGGAAGATCCTGAAATCTCAGCCCCCCGTGGTCTTTTGGTCCCCTACTCTAGTAGGGGATTACAGTAGTACTGGATTCCCACAGCCATGGACATTGATTCTCATATATGAGCATCAACAGCCCCTTGAGAACTTGCTAAATCTCAAATCCTGGGACCCATGGCTAGAGTTTTCTAAATTAGAAGGTCTGGGGTGTGGCTGAGGATCTGTATTTCTCACAAGGACACAGGCTATAATTTTGCTTTGGTCAAGGGACCTCACTTTGAGAAGTGTTGATTGCTAAGATGCAGTAAGATAAAGTAATGTGAGTACTGACTAAATTGAGTGTTTGGAATATGTTAAGACCATGAAAAATTGTAGTCATGAACCATGGCGATCAGCAATCAACAATAATGATCATGACAGTGATGGTTGAGTCATTGCACCCTACCTAACATAATTCTTTTAAAATTATTAGGTGTGGGCAGAAGAAAAAGCTGGTTATCAACAATGGAAATGGAAAAATGGAGGACAGAAAGCCAAGTGGACTCAATGGAGAGGCCAGCAAGTCTCAGGAAATGGTGCATTTGGTGAACAAGGAACCGTCAGAGACTCCAGACCAGTTTATGACAGCCGATGAGACACGGAACCTGCAAAATGTGGACATGAAAATTGGGGTGTAATATCTACACCATTATCTTGGAACAAAAAAACCACAGTTGGAGATACAACCATTACAGGGAGCTGGGACAGTTAACAGATGCAATGTGCTACTGATAGTTTTATTGGGGATCATTTTTTTAGCATAAAATTTTCTATTCCTTTTGGTTTTTGTGTTTTTTTTAAAAGTCAAGTCCAGTTGATAAAAACAGCATTGCTTTCTGAAAGGAGAGCCCAACTAATAACCCGCAAGTATTTGATAGTCCCAGTTTCCACCTAGCGGTCTTTTATCCCCTGGGATACATATGTTATGGATGGCTTCTAAAAGCCACAAATATGTGTTCCTGATGCTCAGCCCCCCAAGCCCCACCTGCCAGGTAACAGCCACATTCTTGGGGATCAGGAGGGATTGGTTCCTGGGAGGAAATTTGAATGGGTCCATATTGCCTCTCCAGTAGCCTAATCCTGGGTCATTGATTTCCAGTGGGTAGGGGTTTGGGGTGTACTGGTTACACATCCCTTTTTGCAGACTCCCGGGAAATGTTTGAGTTGCTTCTGGGAGACACCCCAAGGGTGCAGCTATTTATCTGTACTAAGCTATTTATCTGTGTTTTGGAATATTAAACCCAAAAAGTCCTTTGATGAGTATGATTTTTTCCAGGTTACTTTGTCAGAGGAATAAAAGGGTTTCAGCTAATTTACAATAAACATCTGTACTTTTTCCATCTTAACCTTTTGTATGGTGATGCTTCACTTTCCAAACTGCAAGGTCCAGATCTCTATCTCTGTTCAGGAAGATCTGAAAACGATTCTCCTTAAACTCATTTCATAGCCCCTTGGCCCCCACTCTGCTAAACTGCCTGGAAGATCAAGGAAGACAGCACTGTCTCATTTCCAAAGATGGCTAAAGGCTTTCTCTCCTCTTCTGGAATCTAGAGTTGTGAACAGAAGAGCTTCTGCTATTTTTGTGTTTTGATGGCCACCTTCCTCTCTCCTGAAAGGCCTTGGAAAGTCACATTTAACTTACATGACCTATCATTTGTGGAGTCCAGTTCTGCAGATGCTGATTCCCTTAGTGATTTCTAAAATAACATGGAAGTGCCTCTTGACATCTTGTAATAAAAAGAGAAGCTAGCAGAAATGAAAGAGGATTCAGTGGCCAACTGATTGGTACAGGCTAATGAGGTGGAATGTTGTGTAAATCCTGTTTGACTATCTGTATGGCTATATTTGTTTATACTTCAACATGCCAGTTCTCTGTCTGCCTGCTGATGGCCCTTTCGATAAGTTAAACACATGAGGAATCCCAAATTACAGGGTTTCCCACCCCTGGAATCTTATCACAGCTTGGGCAGATTTATGGCTAAAGGAGTGAATAATGGCTCTTTCCTCTGACCTAATCTTTTCCCCTAGTGGGCAAGTTTTTGTGACATTTCTTCATCAGTCAGGATGTCCCCATTGGTCCTGAAACTCCCAAAGACTACTTGTAATGATAGAGACTGATTCTGTACAGGAAGGGGTTCTGTCAGCTGGGATCTGATTTCCTCACACATCCAGAAAAGTCATCCGTTGCTTAAACTGATATCCTCAGTCAGGAATATCTCTTAAATAATAAAAAGAAGAAAAACAACTTCTCACCTAGATCAGTGCTGGGCTGACACAAGAGGTGACCTCAAGGATATATTTAAAAAGAGTTCCAAGCCTTCTATGCTCATTCCAAACCTTTGGTCCTTTTATTCTCCTTGCATTCTGTTTCTCTCCACCAATGCTATGATCTTCATAAAATTCCTCTCTCTTCTGTGAATATTATTAACCAGGTCTACAGGCAGATGTCTGGTTCTCTTTTGCCTTTCCCTTTCAAGTTGAGGGGAAAAAATGGAGGTCAGGCCACCCTGAGTTGCTGCTGCCACTGATGTTAAAGTGTCCCCTGATTTCCAGGGCCCTACTGTCCCTCAGGTTGTCTTATGGACACATAGAGGGCCACAAAAGTATCACACCTAGAGATGATTTTCCACCCACTCGAGAAATTCCCAGCAAATAGGCTGGAATGGAAGATGATTTGACATAGGAGCCATGACACTGGAAGTACAATTTAACTAAGTGTCTTTTCCGCCGGTGACTTGTCAGGCGACCTGGGCTAAGTCGTTATACTAGGTCTTGTTTATAAAAGTAAGAGGCCAGCATTTAGTTTTCAAAGCAGCCTGAGAGTTTAAGATGTGGTGTTTCCTGTAACTATAAATCTTCTGTGTTTCCTGAGGGTTTTCTTTAAATTAACTGGGTAAAAATTCAAAGAATGCCAAAGATACTTTCAAGATTATATTTTGTAGGTACTAGCCTGATAAAATGGATTTTTCCAACAGAACCTCTCAAAAACTTCTACATTGGAAGAAAACTCCATTTACATTTAGAGCCATAACACCAAGAACCAATTTTGTAGCCAATATTTATTTCATCCTGTTACTGCAGAGTGGAAGAAATATCCAACTTCTCTGGAAGAATAGATGGTACTTAGGAACAGGATAACATGGTCTGAGCTGGGCATGATGGTGTATACCTGTGATCCCACCACTGTGAGAGGCAGAGACTCTGAACGTAACCTGAGCAATTCAGCAACTTAGCAAGATCCTGTCTTTTAAAAAAAAAAAAAAAGAAAGAAAGAAAGAAAGAAATTGAAAAGGACTGCGGATGTAGCTCAGTCCAAAGGCCCTATTTTCAACTCCCAGGTTAAAAAAAAACAAAAAAAGAATAACATGATCCATTCAGTTTTATGTTGTAGGTGTGTCTGTTTGTAATTCTTTTGTGTTAGTTTTTTAAAAAGACTAGCTGATTGTTCATGTACATACGGTGACCATTACTATTGTTACTTTGACTTTTCAGAGCACATCCTCCCTCTGGTTTTTGTGTATTTATTGATGAAAGCACCATATGTCTATTGCCAAGTTGAAAGTCCTGATTGGAAAGTATTAAAAGGCTAACATTAAAAGGCCAATGTCATGGATTCAAGAGTCTCTAATTTAAGGTGGAACGGGAGGCTGGGAAGGGCAGAACTGGAATGATCTGGACATCTGGGTAACATGGAAGAACAGTCAGCTTTTACAGGTGACTGAATCTGAATGGGTTTCCATCACTTGAAGTCTTGTTTTGGAGAGAATTTGATTTTTTTTTTTCCAAAGGTGATGTGTGGTCTCCAGTTTTTAAACTGAGATGCTGTGAAATGTTAATTCTTTAAAAGACAAAATTACTCTGGGATTCCCAGTTAAAGAGAGAAGTTTGCACAGCCTCACTTCCATTCCTTTATGCAGTCCTGTTAAAAAGACAGCGAAGACATATTCTCAAAAGGAATGAACCAGGTAGAAGATATTGGAAGAAAGATAGTAAGAACAATTTGAAACTAGCGGAGCCTGGGGTGTAACTCAGCGGTGTAAGTGCCTCCCTGGCAAATGCGAGGTAGTGAGTTTGATTCCCAGCACCAAAACAACAACAACAAAAAAAACAATTTGAAACTGGAAAATGATGATCAGATGATAATTGATTAAACAAAAGTGGAAGAGCTGAATTCTAAACCAGCAACGGGGAAAGTTGAGAAATAACCTAATTTATGTGGCAGAATTCCCCAGATACTCAGGAAGTGGCAGGATTATCTACTCTGAAAGTGATAAGAAAGGTAGGATTGGATCGGAAGGAGACTTTAAGTGTATTTAAAAAGCAGTCAGAACTCCAGTCCACTTCCCTGTGCTACACACAGCTGTGCTTTCTCAATCCCCGCAGCAGGTCAGACATTGATTCTCTAGAGGAAGAAAAGGACAAAGGCATAGGACAAATGAGCTTGAAAGGCCACACTGGAAAAGCAAGCCCACCCCTGAGGAATGTGGAGGCTTCTAGGTGTTCCCCTTCTGTTTGGCTCCCAGATCACTGACAGCCAGGCATGTTTCCAGGGAGAAACAGTCTTCCTGGGGAATTTGATAAGCCTGGGAAAAACAAAAACAAACAAAACCACCGGAAGATACTAAAATGGCAGTGCCCCAAGGAAATGGGAAAGCAAAACTATCTGCAGTGAAGATCTCATCTCCCACCCAGTAGACACGGAGGACCCCAAACCAGCTGTCTGTAGCTCAGTTCACACAGGGGTTACAACTAGGGGTGCTGGCAACTTATAGAAAACACCTAATGTTAAAGACGGGCTGTAGAAAACAAGGACAAGCAACTTAGAAGAGTTAGAGATGGAAGAAAAACTCCTTTTTAAAAAGATCATTAACAGAGTAAGAGAGGATAGTGTGTCAATGAAAGGAGAACACGTGCTCAAACAAGGAACGTTCAAACAATACCTTCAAAAGGAGCTACAGAAATTGGCACAGGTTTAAAAATAAACTCAACAGAAGACTTGGAAGATAAAGTAGAGGAAATAATCTTTGAAAAGAGCAAAAACAAAGAAACAGGGAAATGGATTAAGATTCACTGCAGGAAATCTAAATATACAAACAATACAAGATGCACAAAAAGAAAGTCGAGAGGAAAAAAATCATTCAAGAAATAAACCAAGAAAAATTTCCAGAATTTGAGAGCATGAATCGCTTGATGAAGGATTGAATGCTTACTACAAGGGATGAAAACAGACCCCCGCAGTAAGGCATCTTACCATGAAAATACATAACATTTGGAACAAAGAGATGATTCTGTAGGTATCTAGGGAACAGAAATATGGAGGCTCAATAATCAGAATATTTCTCAACACCCATGCTGGAAGATAGATGGTCATTATGAGTGCTTCAAAGGTCATAGGAATTGCTTTCAAGATAAATCCTCTAACTTTGCCAAACCACAAATTAAGAACAAGGATGGAACGAAGATATGTCAGATACACACACTAAGCCCATTCAACCATTGTCAAGCTGGATGAACTGCCCCGCAAAAACAAGGGAGTTACCATGAAAGGGGGAGCCATGAGTTTCAGAAAACAAATCATGGGAATTCCTAAAATGATAAAGGGAGATCCCATGAGACAGCTGTCCAACAGGTCTAGGGAATAATCAGTCTAAGCTGAATCTAATTGAATCTAATACCAGTTGAAATCATACAAATTTTGCCTTTATTGGCCTCTCACTTGAAAGAAAATTTTTTATTGTATCCATTAACTATCAATACATTAAAAACTGCTCCAAAATTAGCAGTTTAGAACATCAAATATTTTCTTGTTTCTCACTAGTCAACCCATTGGTGCTTCTGCTGATTCAGGGAAGGGTTCAGGTGACTTGTACAGGCCTGTGTAGTTTGCAAATTAGTCAGCTGAAGCTATCTGGTCTGGGATGGATTCAGCTTGGGTGCCCAGAACCTTTTGCCATGTGTCTCATGCTGCTGGGTAATCAGTCTAAGCCTGGCAGGAATGGAAGGGAGAGGTGACACTCACAGACCTTCTGGTGACAGAACCCCAGAAGTAGCATTCTATCATTCTGTCATTCCCTACTGGCCAGAGCGGGTCAGAAGACCAGCTCGGATTTAAAGGAAAATTGACTGTATCTTCCAGGGAGGGGAAACTACAAAGTCACATCGCAAAAAGTAAAATTACAAGGAGGCCAATTTTCAAGGCCATTAGTAAAGTATGCTGAAAATTTCTGTGACTCAAGAATATTTCTCGTGTTTACATATAAGATACAGTCTCTGTTTAAGCAGTGTTGGCAATAGCATTAATTTAGAGAACCATAAACAACGTAATGCATGCCAGGCTTTTGGAAAT